ACTAGTATATATGAATATTAAAGTGTTTTAAATAATAAGTAAGATTTGCTATAATTTTATCAAAAATATCTTTTTAATTGCTGGTTATATTGTGTATATCTTTTTACTCTAACGTCAAGTACTAAATAACTCTTTATAGGTAAGGATCCAACATGGACCATACATGCAGTCGTGAAATGTGTGGGTGTTGTTTAAAGTTTTGCAATTTCAACTTTATATAAACTAAGTAGAGTTTAAATCACATTGTTATACAGTTTAAATTAATGGAACCAATTTTAATGAAATGAAAAATTATATTCAATTAAGATTTATTTTTAATAACAGTCTGTCACGTGTTCCTCGAAGCTAACGATGCATATATTATATTGTTAAACAAGTGCATAGCATGCGTTGCATAGAATAAAATTATCATAATTATCAATGCAATTATTTATTGCAATAAAAATTTCCATCATTACAATGCAATGCAGTGTGTGTCAAGCCTGGAAACCGGTTAACACATCGGAACGACCGGTGACCCACTGAACCCCAAAAAAATATACAACAAGATATCTGGATCAGATTTTGAACAGTTAACTGATTAACTGTACTTTGTTAGTCACCTCAGTGTTTTGAAATTAGTTCTACTTAAGGTTTGAATGAATGAATGATAATGAATGGTAACAATGAAAGAATGAGTGAATGAAGACTTCAAAGAATATGTTAATAGTTTAAAAAGTGTTCGTTACCAAAATAAAGTAGTTTAAATTTATAACTAAACTTAAAGTGACATTGAAAGCTCACCGAAGCTTCCCCTGTCCTCCAACATTAAGTACCAGGCGGCCAGAAGTCACGAGGAGACCTCGAGGTCTATACGAAAACAATCTCCAACAATTAACAGCAGCCGAGCCAACTCGTTTTTGTCCTTTATCGTTTAAATGCCATGTCAAAAGGTCGTATGTCGGGCATGAGTCGATCCAAATCATGATTTATGCCAATGAAAATAAGGTTCATATATCATTGGAGTTAAAATCTAAGTTGCGAGAATAAATTCGCTCACAATTGAATCTATTTGATTGTATGATAAGTTTTTGTATCTTGTTTTTTGTGAGTCCGTCTGTTTACATCTTAGTACGATGCATAACATGTAGTTCTGAGTTTAAAACTGTAGGTATGGACTATGGAAGTAACGGTCTCTGCATCTCAACGCTTGGCTAGCAACGATCAATGCAACTATTGTTAAAAACTCGAGTGTGGTACATAAAACATGTTTTATCCACCTATGAAGAATTACAATGCTATTATAATATTTATTATCAATATAAAACTTTGTAATTTCCATGTCAAAATAATAAGACCGAAAGTTATATACAAAAAATGGTCATATTGACGAAATATTCCACAATTACAGTGAAGTGCATAAAAAATTTATATATATTATATACATACAGGTGTGTTAGTATATATATTCGATAATATATACATGTGTTTTTTACTTAAATAAATATACTTAACTTAGTAGTGACCTTGAAATGCAAATATTTTTTAGGAATCCAGATGTAAAATGGCTTTTAATGGAAATATAGTCTTATGTTCTTTTGACATATTAAATTTAAATAATCATCACAGCATTTTATTAGTCAGAATTCATATGTTTCTTCTTCTTCTACCTGGCAATACCAGCTTTAGCCAGGGTCTGCCTTACATGTTGTGAATAGTTTTGGCTAATTGTTTTTGCCTGACATAAACCCTCTTTGGATATGCCTTAATCATTGATGTCTAAATACTCTTAGAAAGTACATATGACTAGGAAAAATCGCATTGGTACTTGCCAGGATCGAACCCGCGCCCTCATGCATGAGAGGCGGGCCTTTTAACCATTCATATGTTTTTATATAGATGGTTACTTAAATAATATTTTAGTGTCATTATAAGTATGAATGTCGCATTAGCCTTGTACATACCAACTCAAATAAGGTACGCGTTATATTGTTTATACATATACTTATGTACATACAGAGATAAATTATTCATTAATAAAATAGATTATATATGTATGTATAAGAATACTACCGAGAAACAATTACTAGATATAACAAGGAAAAATTATGTTTATTAAATATAAAAGAATGATATACAATATTAAATTCTATTATTGTAATACGTAGTTATTGTTATAGAATATACCTACATAGTAAATCATGACGTTCTTAAGTAACTTAGATTAATATAACCAAAATTTATATGTATTAAACAAATCTATCTTTAAGATAAAACCTCTCATCATTCAATGTATTCATATACGTGTGTCGGGTCCATCGTTGTAGTGAGAGGAGCTTCAACAGTGACTGTGACTTGTGACCCAGGTGTAGGTTTAAGGGACCCTATCTAACGTTAAACGCTCACCTACACCGTACAAGCTACTCTGATATTCTACTACATACTTAAATTTAATTACTTTAATATATAAATTCATGTAATAAGTCAGTGATGGCCTAGTGGTTAAAGAGCTCGCCTCTCGTTGCCGAGGGCGCGGGTTCGATCCTGGCCCGAGCAAGTACCAATGTTATTTTTCCGAATCATATGTACTTTCTAAGATAATTTAGACATCACTGATTAATGCATTCCCAAAGAGGGTTGATGTCAGGCAGGCGGCCGGTCGTAAAACAATTAGCCAAAACTATTCACAACATGTAAGGCAGACCCTGGCTAAAGCTGGGAAATTGCCAGGTAGAAGAAGATATAAATTCATGTAATAAGTATTACTGACGCATAATTTAGTTGTAAACTTGAATTTCTTGAACAGAATCCGAGTATATTGGATGAATGTGTAGAAAATGTTTGAATGTAATTCGTAATTGTTAATATCGTCCAGTGGCTAGTAATTATCAGATATCAAATACTAGATGGTGAAAGCTGGTACCATCAATATGCATAGCTCAGTAGATTTTCTCTCTGTGCACGCTACACTATACCTTGTACAAACACACAATCATTTCGGTATTGTTCTCAATATTAATTTATAACAATTGAGATGAAAATTAGATTTTAAACGTGATCTATAAATTTTGTTGGGTAAAAAAAAATATTTGGTAATTATTTTTGAATGGTATGTGTTTTAAATTTAACAATTTTAAAACTATATAAATTTAAAGTTTATATAGATTAGAATTCTTAATATTTTATAGTAAATAAGTAGTATAATATTTCTTCGGTTCAATATATAAAAATCCTAAAATATATGTGTATATATATTTTTGTTTGTCACCATAATATGTGGAATATATATTACCAAATTATCCAATTAAATTATTAAACGAATATATTATAATATAATGCTTTATAATATATATTTTTATGACTCAATGCTAATATTTAGTAAACAAAATAATAAAAAAAATGGTATGAAAACTTTTTTCTCTATACATTTAGTTTTTTTATGACATATATAGGTATTGTAAGTAACTTATAATAAAATCATATTCTTAACCTTTGTATCAATGTGACTGTATCAAAACAGACAAGGAAAGAATGTGAGCTTCCAACCGGATTCAAAGGTCTGTGAGACCTCGCACCGCCGGCGCGGTCATGATCTCCTGGTACATGCAGCTAAATCAGCATTGTTTGTGAGCTTTTAAATAATAAAAAAAACATAAGTAATACTTATTTATATATATCTAAAACTAAATTTATAAAGAAAAAGTTTTCATAACATTTTTTTTATTATTTTGTTTACTAAATTAGCATTGAGTCATAAAAAATGAATATTATAAAGCATAATATTATAATATATTCGTTTCATAATTCTTTTATATAATTTGGTAATATATATGCCAACATATGGTGGCATACATATAACAAAATAAATATATACTACATTATTTCTACTAAAAATTTATTTATGCTTCGATATTTTTTTTTATGTAATCGACATAAGCGATCCAATCATTCTATTGTTAATAATTTTTCCTGTTCAGTTCACAACACCTATTATTCTAGCTCGTAATTCCCAGCAACAGGTTAGATTAGATCAATGAAACATATGTAAATTAAGTCAAAAACCTTTTATAATATATACTTTTCAATATTTATTGATACTTAAAATTCCTAAACTATACATTAGTATGACGTACGCGGTCAAAAGCCTCTGTGGCAGTCAGCTTATAAATGTTTTATATATTGAAATAGTGTTTTAAAACCATTACGATATTGCCGTAGTGATAGCAATTATGGCTTGATATGACAACAATGTACCTTTCGTGTTTTTGAACTTGCAAGGGATGTGCTTTTAATAAAATTATTTAATATATTTAATACAAAGAAGCCTTGTTTAAGTAGTGACTTAGTCATTCATATCTTTGTTGATTTGCGAGAAAAAGTATCCTAATAAAGTACTTAGTCCAATTTGCTTCTATTATATCTGATCGTGAAAGTTCTGTGATAATCAGTCAAGCCGGTTCAGAGATTAGTCGGAACAAACGGACAGACAGGGAAGTAAAATGTCATATATTTATATCTTTGTATTTGTTTATGCAGATTTATTTCCTTCAATATTATACTTATAATGTCTCTCCATCTAACCCTACAGCCGGTCATCAAACTTTGCCCTTTGACCTTTGTCCATCACTTTGGGTTTTACAATCGCTAGTAGTGGTGGTAACCATATAATATGAACCCTTACAGTAAACTTCACATATGCACGGATATTTCAATTAATACTGGTCGTTTGGTAATAACGGGGTGCATGAACCGATTATTGTCAATATGACACGCAACCGTTTACATTTTATACTATTTGTTTTTATATTTACATATAAGTACAAAAACTCATTTAGATAATTTTTATTACGACAGCTATGACTTATTGTGTCTTCTATATTTTAATTTTATTTAAAATCATTAATAATTAAAAAAACACTAAACTGACATCTCTATAGTCTTTGACGTCAACGTCAAAGTGACATTTAGGTAGTCATTTTGAAGTCCACAGATAAAAATATATAACTAATTTCATAGATCTTTCATTGAATATAATCTGTGAAGCTGCTTTTGTTATATTTTTCCAAGTGTTCACAGAGAGCTGGTGAGTTCTGTGTCTGGAGACCTCGCCAGCCTCTCCGGTCCAGCGAGCGCCACGCTTTCACCAGCACGATACTAATGACAGGGTTCATGTGTGCATGGTCTGAATGCAACACAGAATCTTAATAACATCATTAATAAGTCACAAATTTCAGTAACATATATTCTTTAATGGACCTATCTAATTTTCTGCTCGTATTGGCGTATTTTGTGGACAATTAAGTTTGAGAAATATTGATATTATAAATGATATACATAATTACTTTAAATTTTATTATATAGACACAAAATGCTCTGTCATTAAATGGGATTTCATAGAACAAGTTCTGTAAATACTATAGTAATTTAAATCAAAGTTCTTCTTTCTAATACTATAAGGACAATATATTTATTAATTCCATTATATAAGACGCGGCCCCGGGTGACTCTTTACTACACAGCGGAAGCAATTTCAAAGGGCTTGATGAATTACACAAGACGACTGTGATTCTTTGATTGATATGACGAGTGCTGCCAGTATATACAAAAAGATTAATAATAATTTTGTGTTGCTATTACAAAAAATCCAATATTTTATGAAATAAAAGGTGCATTTACATTATAAATTAAAAATATCTTTAAATTTATTGTGTTAGAAAGTTTGATATTTTGTAATGAAAAGTTTTTTGTATAAAAATATATTACAATAGAATAATTATGTTTTAAAAGCTATCAGCACTGGTCTATTAATAGGTAAACTCCAAAAATGTAAATAAAAAAACGTAACAGATATTTCTTGATTATAGGGCGATACGAAGTTCGCCGGGTCTTCTAGTATAATATATATTAGTACTGTTTCATAAGTGTGAAGTATTTTATTTTTATATTTATTAATACTGGCCATACATTTCACGCTTAGTGAAAGTCATTAATATATTCTAAGAGCGTCTTCCTTGCCTTCATTATGTCATCACAAGTCACAAGTGTGTCAAGATCAAAAGAAAGAATTCAAAGAATTTGACCACACACTTAATAAACGCTGTTTTTTACATAACCAATAGTTTTCCAAATTTGTCATAATATATTCAAATCAATTATAATGTATTCATTATCAATTCAGATGAATAGAATTGTAGTGTCTGTTTCTTCTTCTTATTCTTCCTGGCAATTTCCCAGCCCTAGCCAGGGTCTGTCTGTTTCTAATAAAATAAATGCTTAAAGTTATGCTTTACGCTATACATATAGTTTAACATTCTTCATAATATTTGTTTGTATGTTTGTTCTCGCTTATCTCTGAAACGGCTTGACCGATTTTGACAAGACTTTCACTAGCACTAGCTGACGTAATATGAAGTAATTTAATCCGTTTATAATTAGGCAATTTGTTATAATGTATATCAAAAAGAACATAACTAAATATACTGTACTCTAGTATGTGTTTCCATCAAACTTAATACTGACAGTTTCGTCGTTTTTTTACTCATAAATATATGTATCTTTTAAACCAGATGAAGGTATCATACAATGACATTGAACTTTTGTGTTAAATTTCGTTTAACATTTAAAAGTTTAAAACTTTTAATTTAGTTCACTAGAGTCTAGAACTAAGCTACTAGACTTTTTTTTGTTAGTTTTGTTTTTATTTCGACAATATTAAAATTATTTAGAATATTTAATAAGCTATTCCATTTATTTGATTGATTAATTATTCTGATATAATGATAATGTGACCACCATGACGAACAAAATGTCGTTATATAATTCCTATTTTGAAACCATGTTGTAAACTTATTGGAAAATTTTGTAAGAATAAAATATAAAATGAGTTGGAAAATGAGGTTTTGCATTAGATCTATAATTTAAAACCAAGCTAACCGAAATGCGGGGAGTACTTTTTATCAAAAATAAAGCCGCGTAGTATATCCGAAAAATATTAGTTTCATTAAGGTCAATAATTTCCCTAAAACTTAGTCAATTTAGGCTACATTATGCGTATACAGTAAATACCATAAATATGGTATTTTTCCTTAAACCCTTATTTAAAATAGGTCCATACTAAAAATCCATTTCTATATCTACAACCCCCGAAATCTAAGTAACAGATAATAGTATGGTACCACTTTCCATCGAGCCCTACAAAGTGTTAGTTATTTGGTCCACATCTATTGTGTGTTCAGAAGAAAGTGTATTTCCAAATAAATATAACACATTCGTTCTCAAACTCCACGTTTGTAGGCTTTCACTTTCCCTTTAAATATTCTTTTATTTATGTCGTACATTTGTTCAATCTTTCTTCTTATAGGTTATTTTCATGCTTGAAACTTTTCCTAATCCATGCAAAATGTATTTTTTGTTTCATTTCAATTATTATGACAGACAGAGACAGAAATACATACCTAGATATAATAGTCGAGCCCAATAAGCGTTGTTATTATTGGACTTACGTTTGCTAATGTTTTGGTATAAACGAAAGAATTGTTCTTAAAGAAAGATAACGGTTTGATTTAAGGAATAAATTGAGAATTTCAGATTTAATATTACATTTAAATTTAGCTATTATCTATATATATAAAAATGAATTGTTGTTCCTTGGTCTCACTAAAACTCGAGAACGACTGAACGGATTTATCTTATCATAGTCTTGAAATGTTCGTGGAGGTTCGGGAAGGTTTAAAAGCTGAAATTTTTTTATTAATTTCCGGGAAAACCCTAAAAACAGCTTATTTATTTCCCATACAAACGGTTTTTTGACATTAGATTTGACAACTAACTAATATGTCAATCATTTTGTCGCACTTCAGAACACCGAGATTTATGGCTTAAAGGTAAACACCAAAAAAATAAATAAGGCATAATTTATTTCTTGATTGAGGCAGTACGAAGTCTGCCGGGTCAGCTAGTTCTTAATAGATTTTTAAAACATTATATCTATGTAGTTGCTATTTATAACATAAAATGCGCAATGGCGATGACGCCGTTGTATAGTTTTAATTAAACCACATGTTCTGTGACTTGGATAACATTATAAATGATTTTTATTCGTAGTGACGTCATAGTAATCATCAGTTCTGGTCCAGATGTGGTAATATGAGAACTGAACGCCCACAATAGTTATTTACGTCAAAAGGACTCGTTACCTGAATAAGTATGAACTATTAAATATTTTTTTATGAATCATAAACAACTTTTTCTTATTAAATAAAACAACAAGAGGTACTATTGAAGGTTATTTTGTACATCCCTTCTAATATTATAAATGCGAAAGTAAATCTGTCTGTCTGTCTGTTACGCTTTCACGCCTAAACCACTGAACTGATTTAAATGAAATTTGGTACAGTGATAGAGTTGACCTTGAGAAAGAACATAGGATAGTTTTTATCCCAGATTTTTGAAAGGTACTCTTAGAAACGCGATATAACGAAAGCTAGTATGAAATAATCAAGATTTTCAAGGTCTCGTTAAAATCATATACGATCATAATACGACAAGTAACGTAAGTGTTGTATACTAAGTACACTTAAAATGTATAAAGTATAAACATTAAATTACACTTTCCAAGTAGAAACGGATGAAATTGAAAATTGTATCATAATTTGGGTTCATCAGACCGTAGAAGTAACATCTCTTAAGATACGGAGCTGCTGTGAATGATCTCATATGGATAGAAAGTGAGTTTTCCCCCAAAATAATAGTCTAAGAACTCAGAAAAACTGTAAAACTCGTGTAAATTTTAATCACGAAGAAGTTACTTGTGTTTTTTTATTAGCAGATTTTGCATTAAAATTCCCAAGCAAGAACTAACTGTGTCAAGAAACCAGTATGCATCAATAAAAGACCTATGAACTTTCGCACGCCGCGTTCACTAACTTGCACTCTCGACGGCCGGGTCTGACGCAACGCAATTATGGTCAGTCATACTGTTTCCATAACAAAAACTTGTAAGGTCAGATTAAATGGTTGCATTGCTTGACTGTTCGACCGTTTTTGTTTTTGTGTTAGGTATTGAAATGTTTTAAAAGATACTTTTTTTATTTTTGTTCCATCCTGATGCTCCGACCTCAGTTTGTAATATATTTTTGTATTGATTTCATTTGTCATTATTTACTTTACTTGTAGCCAGTGGCGGCCGGTGGGTAATCGAACTGGTGGTGCACTTTACTAAAATATTAAAATTAGAAAATGCAACAAAACAACGAAATGTCAAAAACGGCCGGCTCATTTCGTCATACATCGGTCGCACTCGGTAATCTTCGGCCGCTCGTGCGGCGCTCGAGAACCGACTCATTACTCGGTACATTTCTATGAACTATCTTTTGTTTCACGCGTCAGGCGTATTAATGCGTATCTCATACAACATGTATTAGCAGTCCTCGTGCGCTCGCCGAAGCGCACGATATATTAGTTAGTAAAGCGCTCAAACTTTTTGACCATAATTAGGAAATTTAATTTTTTATACGTTTTTGTATGTTTAGAAATTAAATATTAAAATGGTAATTTAAAAATAAAGATGAAGTAATATTTTGTAATTTTTAAATCTTTTGAATTGGTGGTTCAGCGCACGAGTGCACTTAAGGTACAGCCGCCACTGCTTGTAGCAATAGCTATTCACTATGAAATAATTACTTTCAAGTGGTTTCAGTATTTCCGTGCTAATAAAATTATGTTTAAAATATATTTATTTAGTTTGTTCATGCTCAATTTTGTTGTTTTTATATACCTATACATATATTTACGTATATAAATAAGCTAAGTCTTCAAAACTTCGTTTTTCTTCGGACGATGACATTTGACATACTATTCTACACGTGTTTTTAACATATTAGAATTATTTACGTCATAAACGAAACCATTGCTAAATGTTTCTCTTATTATTCGTCGAAATCTTTCATCCAGTTTTAATCATTGTTGGTTTAGTTAAATTATAATATATGTTTTGTGATGAACATAATATTGTAATAAATAAACAGCTCATGATCATTAAATGAAAATTACATGGAATATAAAACAGAAAGGCTCTTTTAACCTCTTGAACATAATTTAGTGAGCTGAGGTTTCTAAGACCTTGGGATCTTGCGTAAGTTTCGGAGACGTGACACTACAGATATTAAAGCTAAGATGCATCACGTATAATACACACGCTATACAGTGGGTTTACCTGTACCCATCACACATACAGAGGCCTAAATATTCATAATTTACATTCATAAATCTTGTCATAGGCAGCCCTAGTTGGATCTTTTCAAATTTGTTTAGGTAAAGAGAGGAGCTTGTACGGTAGAGGTGAGTGTTTAACTCCCGTTAGATAGTGGCTCCTTAAACCTACACCTGGGTCGCAAGTCCCAGTCACTGTTGAAGCTCCTCTCCCTGTAACGATGGACCCGACACACGCACCGTGAATACATTGAATGATGAGAGGTTTTGTCTCATAACGTACACCGTTCAATTAGTAACGAGAAATGAATATAGTGTGACGATAAAAGTTTGTGTAAGCATATCAAAAAACGCAAGACAATGACTAAAATTATTATATAATATAATATAATAGCTAAAAATTATTATATATATAAAAGCAATAGCTTCTTAAATTCGTAGTTTTTTGGCAATAAAATTTTATTTTTAAATTATGGTTCTTGCTAAATGCTGAATTGTCATTGGCTGGTTTCTCATGTGACGTCATAACGAGGAATCAATTATTTTGATTGTGTCATATTTAATACTCTGTTGCTAAATTTATATGTTGTTTACTATTTCTAATGAGGTTTTGTGTGTATTCTATAGAACCTCAATATCTTAACTAGTATTTTACAAGATTTTTAACAAAGGGCACCTCAAGTTTGAAATGGAAAGGTCATTATGGTTTACGTATTCTTAGTGAGACTCGAATTATTCACTAGAATGCAATATTCATTCTTAAAAATAAAATCAAAGGTCTACTGCGCGCTTCAAAGCAATGCCATGAATATAAACAAATAATAATTAGGTATAACTTTTTTCCTTACTCATAAAATGCTGACTTGATATAATATAAAATTATTAAATTTTTTTGAATCACTACGTGTTTAGTGTTATTTATTGTTGATCGTACAAAAATTCTAGAATATTAAACAAGCGAACACAATCACAGGTAACAGCTAGTCATAGATAATTATTTAAACTACAAATCCAGTACAGGCTATAGTTTGAACAAAGACCTGTCTATATTATGTGAATTATTAATTATTACATCACGTTATATTTGTATCGGTTTTAATCGCTGTGTGCTTCACTAAACAAACTTGTTAAAATGCGAGTGCTGTTGCTCAGCTAGAAGCAGTTTCATTACTAGTGTTGCGACACTAACGACGCAACATCGGTTGCTTACCGGTATATCGGTATATTACATACATCATTAATTGCTAAACATTTTATAAAGATCTAATTAATCTAACAAATTAATTAATTTTTAATAATTGTTTAATTATAAGATTTAATATATGTAATATTATTATAATAATATTTTTATTGAATCTATCGATATAACTTTCACATCACTATCAAACAACAGACCCTACATTCTATCACGACCTGGCTCTATTCTTATGTAACCAGCCATGAACGGTCTACACTGATAGTTCTCAACAAAATTGAATAATTTGTTATGATAGTAACTCAGCAATGTATTATACGCGTCATACGAATGTTGGTAAACATAATACAAATGTCAAATAATGAAACTATTATACCTTTTTGTATGAAATGTCGAAATGAGTTGCAACAGAATAATATAGGGAACAAAACGCTCTTAATATAATGAGTTGTCTTTGTGTTTTGTGTTTATTCTTTGTGTTCATTGAAATAACTAATGTTTAGTAGTCACAAGTAGGGCAGAGTTGGCTTCTAATTGATATCTTGGTAGAGGCCAGGATCATGGTATCATTGACCTCTTATATATACCTTCTATGGAAGTAGTAGAAATTTGTTTCAATCTGTTCTTCCTATAAATATGTTACTTATTTGAACTGATTTTTAACTCTAAATATAAGCTCATTTAAAGTGTAGCGCAAGAAACTTAATGTAGCGGTTAAAATGAAAGCCTATCCAAGATTAAATGTTTAAATTATTAACTGTAGTAGACGATGAAATTATAGAAAAATACATAGAATTATTAAACGGTCCCGGATAAATTGTAGCTCGATGTAGGTCATAAAGCTGACTCAAATACTAGCCAATGTTCAAGACTATCTAGTTTCTAAAACTGGTTTGATATTAATTCAGATCTATAAAAGACGATAATTGATCTGAAAATGCTTGGTTCATTTAAAATGAATGGTTACAAGTTCATCTGAGATGTTTGAATAGCATTCTCTTACGCGTGCTTTAATAAAATATACTTAGACAACACGGAATCGAGATATTTTGACTTAATTTTAGGTTTTCTTCTTCAGCTTTTTTATATTAGAATGTTTTATAGCAATTGATTAAGAAGTGAAGACATTACACTATACGATTTTGTTTTTTAAGGTTCCGTAACCTTAATAGTCATTTGCTAATTATTATTAATCATTATTTTTAGCAATATTTTATTTTTGATCTTGATCGTATCGGGGTTTTTGTAATATTTAAAAATTTCAAATCACATTATGCAACCCAAAGACAATATTATATACATTTCTTTAGAATAACTTTTCATAAAGAAACACATAATACTTGGTTACGAAGTCAGTAAAATATAAATCAAGTTGATTTGTCCTCAAGTGTGTTTCGCCTTACCTACTATATAATGATCATGTCCCAGTGACCTCAAAAGTCAATTGTGGTCGTTATTAGTACCTTACAACTACACACATTATCCTTATTCCATCGTCCAAATTCACGCTCGTGACTTACACAGTAATCAGTTCATTTTAACGACCTGTAGACTCTAGTGTAGTTCACTGTATGAAACTAGGGTAAATGTACTGTTGGGTAAACTTTATTTATTGAGACTCCGAAAAGTTTATAATAATAAATAATAATATACTTTTGTGATAGTAAATTTGTATATATGGGGCCAGCCGTTCATGGGATTTTTTTTGATCTAACTAATAATCTAAATTTAGGACGAAGATCAAAAATACTATTCAATAGATTAATTACTTAACGTGATACAGAAGTGCAAATCGTTCGAGAGTACAATAGTAAAAAGTAAAAAACCTAGAAATAAGTGTTAACTACAATAGAAGTTGAAAGTAAAAAAACAACATCGTCTTACAATGGTTCTGTCATTGCAACCGCAAATAGAATGTTAGGTGCAATCAATAATTATGTAAAGATAACATTTTATCTCGCAAATGTTACAGACATTCTCATTATAATAAATCTCGGAATGGATGTATGTATTAAGTAACTAATAAGAAGACAGTCATGTAACTTATATGTAAATTAAGTAATGTCAATAAAATGATGTAAAATTATAAGTTGTCATCATATCTATTGTTTTATTTCTTAAGTATTAACATGAATAGTAAGTATTATATTGTCGGAGAAATATAAAGTTGGGATCACAAAAAAAAAGTTCGTAAAAAGGTTCAATGTCAATTTATTTAATTAACTTGTCTTTCACTACCAAATCACGACGCGTCTAATATTTTCCATAAGTTTATTATTTATGAAAATAATTTCTTAAATATCATCTATTTATTTTTAGCATTTTGAAAATCATTTATATATTTATTTTCAGGAACAAATCAAAATGGGTGGGATCTGATGAAGCGACTCTCTCTGTAACATGATGAAATGATTATGGAGTCTCCAGTAAGAATATGCATCGGTAAGATAAATTTTTATATCAAATTTTAAATGGCTAAGAAAAAAATATTTTATTTATATTAAAATAAATATTTTTTTGGTTCCAGGTGCAGCATTAGTAGTTCATCTGCTACTAATCGTCACCACAACAGTATCTGCTAGCACGTCCCCGCCTGAAACGACATCTACAACTATAAGAAATGACAGGAACCCTAAGTTTGCTAGAGTAAGTGGTACAAACTGGGCAGCTAGGAATAAATCCAAGATACCAGATTTATCAATAAACGAACTGAACCCAAAAGACTCTACGAGTGAAGAGCATAGTGAGAAAAATGCTAAATATAAAGATAGGGGAAGGGTTAAATTCAACATGCAATCTAAATCCACAACAGAAAGCACGTTAAGAAGAGTTTCGCCTTCAACAAAAGCATCTGGAGTGATAATAGTTACACCAACGCCTGAACTTAAAAAACCAGCACAAATTATAGAGAGCATGCGTGCTTATAAAAAGAATAAAATACCAAATCTAACAGTTGTCAGTACGACGGAACAAGATAAATCAGATGAAGGCGATGAAGATGGCACAGAGGATGAAGATTATGATGATAAGGAACCGATGAAGAAGTCATCCTCGACGAAAATTAAAGAAAACAGCTTCTTTACTATACCTAGTTTTGACATAGACGAAGAATTCAAAACAAATAGCTATAATCGTAATCGCGATAAGAAAAATAACCAAGATTTTAGTACTCCATCATTTGGGGATTTGTCCAGTTTCTTCCCAAAAAGTATATACAGTTCAAAAGAAGAGCCGTATAAACCAGACTCATATTTCGACTTTGATTTAGATCTGACAACTCCTAAAAATGATTTCTTCGATAAAAAATATCACGAAGTATCTTCCAGTATTTTAGATAATCTAGACGCAATTAAAACTAAAACATCACCGAATGAAACAAAAACGCAGAAAATTGATAAAAAGAGTTTCGGCTTTGAGAAACCCGGTAACGAATCTCCTAATAATAAATCATCAGTTTATATAAAAAATACCAAAGAAATACGTTATCTAGATAATGATAAGTCTGGTTCCTCTAAAGGCTTGCAGGATGTACAGGGTACGAGTATTTATTATGAAATGACTGTTTTATCAACTGAGACTTACAATATAACAGACGATCAAGATGAAGACGAGGATTGTGACAATGATAACCAAACAGACCCTACTACAAACTCTAATAAAAAAGTAGAAACCGTTTCAGTGAGAGCAACTTCTCCTACTGTAGATCTTTCTACAAAGTCGAGCTTTTCTGATTCAGAGCCAAGTCCAGTTTCAATGTCTCCCATAATGCTAACCTTTTATCCTAGTAGTACGGCGCGATCAACTGTTAATTCTTTTGGACCTATTTCTATTAGTACTTATAATAGTGAATTCGTTACTGAGAACAGTGGAATCTCTTCCAGTACCCAGGGCAGAAATAGAAACTATTCAAAAAAACTAAATCTTTTCGGTAATAAAGAATCACCTAATAGTGTATTTCCTACTATACAATCAGGAAATACCTTCCAGTCTTCGACTAATCAAGGGTACAGACCGCAAACACGAAGATTTCATTTTACTACTCCAAAAACTAAACCGATATGGATGGCACCAAAAAGAAATACCACTAGAAATTCAATACCCAGAGTTCCAACCACAATATATTACGAGCATTTCGATATTAAAGATAAAACTAATTCTCCAAGAGAACCCAACAAGATTTTAACTACTCAACCTTCGGATATAGATCCAGTATTACAAAGCGATGTCAGCGACTCGAAAAAAGTCGTTCATTCTAATTCGATATCTGATAACACAATACCGTCATTATGGAAACGAGGTTCAACAAAGTATTCATCACCAACCGTTGCAACAGCTGAAAATAATACTGGGTCGGGTGAGATGGAGATTCCTCCAACATTAACAGCGTGGGCACTGGCCAGCATGCGTATACCTCCGTCGTTGACAAGCCCTGTGGTGAATGCTACAGGATCACCACAGAAAAATATTGACGAAAACGAGCTGCAGAAAGTCGGAGAAGTAACAGGTGAGTTTTTGAAATAAACAAATAAAAGAAGATATGTATTTACAATTAACTTTTCCTGAAGTATTATTTTACAATGTATTTATTATCTATTTATGATTTCAGACAAGAAAGAATCGTCCACAAGCTCAACAACGACGGCAACAACGATCTATCTTAGCAACGACTTTGAAACTAAAAACATTACAGAGATCTATCAAAACAAACTTCCTTTGAAGTCGGCTTCTTCTACTACATTAGACACTGATGGAGAAGCTAAAGAAACTCGTTCTGAAACTAACTCTGAACGATTTCCTGCAGAAAGCGTTATTTCTCTTCAAAGCAGCAAAGAAATTCTCACTACTGAAGAAATGACTGCCGGTACAGATTACACAACTATGTCAGAAGAAATGGAGACAAAAAATGGGTTGGTGCCTGTATTAAACGAAAGTGATCAAGTAACACCCAGTGAAACGAAGGAATCTTCTAAAGTAGAAACGATTCCTCCCCCTGATACTACTAGGGCCACTGGCTTCGAATCTATTACTAAACTACCAGCTGGTATAACCACGCCAAAAGATGAGACAGTAGCTACCGAGGGAGACGTTGATCAACATCCTTCTGACAGTGGTGTTGTAGTCACTGACTATGAAATAACCACAATAAGGTTTTCATACGTACCGACTGAACCTACAACGGAACAATCTACAGAAACAGAAACGAACATAAGCGATCGTCATGTTGTTTTTCCTACACGGACTGTGCCGTCGACGGCAAAGGAAACGTCCATTACAACATATAGACCAAAATACTTTACTACTACAGAAGAAGTAGAAACCTCCACAGTTATTATAGAAACCACTCCTCAGCTAGAAGTATCTTCACAGGTTGTTGAAAATGTTACCAGAAGAGAAACAACAACTTCTACTACTACGGAAGTAACAGAAGAAAGTGAGACGACGACAAAGAAACCGGTTTCTGTAACAACAGAAATGATATTAGAAACTACTGAGAGAACAACAGAGCCAGAAAAAGAAAATGTTACTGATTTAGATACTGAAACACCTAAAGAAGAAATACCAGTAGAGACTACAACAATTGTGGTTACTGTTGTAACCGAAATCAATTCAGAAAGAGCCCCTGTAACTGAGGCTAATCCAACAACAGAACTATCATCTGATTCTGAAGCCAGTCTAACAACAGAACTCCTGTCTGACTCAGAAACGACATCAGAAGAAAATAGCGATAGTAACGAAGTTATTGTCCCACAACACAAAAAGACATCCATTAAACCAGAAACTACAACGACTACAACCTCTACTACTACTACTAGTACGACTACTACTACCACTACCACTACCACTGCTCCTACTACAACAATAACTACATCTAGCACAACAACCACACCAACACATCAAGAAGAACATATAGTCGAAACGACGACAGAAGATTTGGATATAATGACTAAGTCTGTAAATGATTTGGAGGATTTGACGAGTTATGCTGGCGATGTGACAACAGAGTCTTCTTCGAGGGTGTTGAGTGACGACTCAGGGTCGGGAGCGGCCATCGCTATAGCTGTCAGCACTATAGGAGTCGTTGCTCTTATACTTCTAGTCGGCTTATTGGTAAGTACTATCATATTTACTTAACCTTGTATACAATATAAGTTGTATTTTGCTTGCTTGTATATACGAAAAAATGTCTTTAGAAGTTACTAGTACGTACATAAAAACTAGTTTCCTTAAACTAAATTATACTCAGAAGTATTTACTCATGGAAGAGTAACTAAAATTCATATTGAGTGAATAAATATTCAAAATATAAATAAGATACGTTTAAGTGTTCCTAGATGAAAATATTTAAATATTTGTAAGTTTATAGTTTTTCTTACACATTTTTGACATTTCCACTGCGAGGTTCATTTCTATAAAGCTGTTTCTGTTGTGATAATTTCCAATGCATTCGTTGTCAGCAGCGTTGAACATGCGCACAACATATCCAAAGTAATGAGCATAATATCTATAATTGGCTCACGATAAATTACGTCCACTACTTTGGATAATTATGCAGATCACAGACCTGGTGATGTCCATTAGTTTCCTTGCAACTTCATACTAAAGAACCGCTCATATTATTTGTTGTATACAGTATACTAGTATACAATATATGTTAAACACAAGCTTAATAAATAAATAGTTAATAGAAAACAGTCTCAGTGAATCAAAATAAAATAACATACCCGGCCGGTTGCTCTCCACGGCAAATCCACGCGATGCGACACTCCTGAAACGTATACAATACTGAATTAACTTTGATAATGACTATATAACATTGATTATTTAATATCATATAACCCTTTTATATAAACAAACGAATGTATATAGGGTCATGTCACACTTAAATTAATATTAAGACATCAGAAACACAAGCCGGTGAATTATAATCATTTCTCGTAAGCAGTGGTATCGCGCCATAAAAATTCCTTAGCTGGTAACGCGAAGACTATCACAGTCACCCGACACCGCTTATCGCGCTAGTGGGAATTTGCACTCGGTCAGTTTAAATCACGGGTTCAAATAATTAAACTGTTTCCATGTACCAGATTATAGATGCAAATTTTATGTTGAGTTAACTAGAGTTGAGATAAATAAAGTGCAATTCGTTCTAGGGATTGACGATGGCGAATATGGGCAAAGTTATTTAGCAAGACTTGTTAAGATGCGAGTTTAAATGTAACTGTATTAGGAAAAACTGAAATTAATAAATTATAAAAAAAACATTAAATTCATTGAGTCCATAATCACCATTTATTTATGTACCAAAAGTAGTAATAATTAAAGTATTATAAAAGAAATGTGATGTACAAAGGATAGCTTATCTGTTTAAAGAGATCTCTACCAGAAACACTATTGATAGAGAAAACAAGAAAAGAAAGTGTGGTGTATGTATAATAAATAAAAGAGAAGGAAAAACAGAGATATATAAATAAAAATACAAACAAAATTATAACAATAGAAAATTTTAATATTATATATACATAGCTATGTATATAAATATTATATATATCACCTTTGAGATACTATTTATTAGATTTCTTTGAGATTCCTTAATAAGATCTTGACTTGATGCCAATGAAACTATAATGCCCTCTTAACAGAAAATAATTTTAAAAGTCTATGGCGGAATAAACATATAGTCGAATTCAGAACTTAAACCTTTTTAAGTTACTTATAAATTGTTAAATTTAATTAGTTTGTTTAAAAAGTTATTTAAAATTTTAGAGATTAGCTCGATCAAACGGACAAAAATGCCAAAATTAAGAGATTAATAAGACTATGTGACATCCCAAAATGTTAAAATTAGCTTTTTCTATACAGCTACCGTATACACTTTAAATGAAAAATATGTTTTTTATAAATTATAAACAGATACTTAAATAAATTTTATTTTTGAGTATACAAGTCATTACATGTTTCTTTGATTGGTAAAGTTAAATAAAAATAAACAAAAGAAATATAGGAATAAAATATTGTCACTTTATCAGATAAAATAAACTAATCGTTTAATAATAAACTAATTGTTTAATACAAAGGTTTTGTTTCCCTTAAAATATATTTAGATGGTGGATCCAAATTCGTATAAAATATTTTTGCATTATTTAAATTTGATCTAATACAATGATGTCCATTGATGATTTTCTATCGAATTTATGATTGATCATCTTTAGTATTTTTATATGTGCTACAAAATGATAGTATTTATATGTACTTAATAACCATGTATCAAAAAAAAAATAAAAATAAATTCGAATATACTCTGCTAAAGAAAATGAGAACAAAAATCAAACTGGTTATGAATAGAAGAAAAAATACGTAGATATTAAAGATATTTGCTAAATTTGGTCAATCTTGTAAATACTCTAATTATATAGTATAAAAACCAATACTTAATATTTAATAACCCGCGAAATATATATGTTAATAAAGATTTTGGTCCAGTCACACTAATTTCTAAGTAATACAAACTTATTGTAAATGATGAAGTATTTCAATAATATTTATATACAATCACAAGTCAATCAACAAACTTGAAAATATTTTAAAATAATCTAAACATTTAAGTGTCTTGAAGATGAATAAATAAGTGTTCTTAAGATTTAAGACCGATCAAAAAACGTGTAACCATCTTAATAGTTATTACATAAATTATAACTGTTAAAGAATTAAGAATTAAAAATCATGCTTTTATACAAAAAGCAAATAAAAAGTGGTTAAAAAAATATTGAAATTGTATGTAAAGTTCCTGTTACTTCTTTTTACTGCTTCTGATTTGTCAAAAATATATTAATAATTGATAAATCTGCAAGAAAACTTCTTGAATTTTACTATAACGTATATATCATGATTATTTATATTTATGATATTTATAAATTTTAAATTCTTTGGGACTTTAATAAAAAAAAGAAGAATATAAACATAGCGTTTGTATGGTCTTAGAAAATTATTTCATGCAAAATATTTTATTAAATTTTTTATTTTTAATAAATATTCATATAATTTTGATACTATCTAACAGAAATTATTTATATTTTATAAGACTTTTCAATATTTTAAAAGTAACACATAAATATTTTAGATAATTTGCGTAAAGATACATATATATAAAAGGGGTTAAAATCTTTTTTTATTTATATTGCTTTCAATAAGTAATATATAATTCTAAAATTAAAAGCGATAAATATTTTTAAATATAAAAAATATCTTACCAATTAAACCACGTATGATCACAATAATAACACGACTTTACTTGATTTTATTGTAAAATAAATCTTAAACAAAACAATAACTGTTCCAATATTATGTAGTGTTAGCTTGTCTTGGTCGATGTCATGAGTAACTCGTTCGAGGTGCCTCTCTCTAGTGAGGCAGGGGTTTGGTCCGTGGGTCTACCAGAGAGAGTACTACTTAGTTTAGAAGCAACAAGTAATTATTGCACCGCCTTATATATTAATTACGAACGAACTTGAAAAAACCCTTAAATGAAACTAATATTTTTCGGATTATACTACGTGGATTTTATTATTTTAAAACTACATACTCCTGACGTTTCGGTTACTTTTCAGCAACCGTGATGAACAGACGCGACATCTCGTATAATAATAATTATATTAGTTTCATTTTAATGAATACTCTTGAAAGTATTCGATTTTATTATTAGAAAAAACCTCCTAATATGTAGAAAGTTCAAATAACAGAATGTTCTTCCGCTTGAAAAACATTTTATTATAAATATTATATATTATTTATATACAATTCAAATACTCAGATATAATATTGGTGACGTAATGAATCACTAATATATTATTATTTTTATTAATAGAGAGTAAAGAACTGTTCAAAACTTACTTGCCACCCCGTGTTCCGGGTCTTAGTAAGCACTGCCGTATCGCAAGGTAAAGGATGTTTTTACAATGCGAATTATAAACAACACTAGCTGATGACGGGTTCTGTACGTCTCCATTAACACACGACATCGTTACCAGATATAACGGTCACGGCTAACTAAACACACAGGTTCACACGAAATTATAAATAATAGTATAATGAAAAAAATCTCTAAAACTTAACTCATTATAATTAAAATTAACTGTCTATAATCATTGCTAAATAAACAGAATTTACTTATTGCTTTGTTTTTCAAATTAAAAAGTGTTCATTTAATTTTGAGTTTAGAAAGAAAAATAGTAGAAATAAATCGGATTAGTACAATGGAAACGCGTGTAATAGGGCGTCTAATAAATTAGGGTTTCGAATGGAAATGTTAGCCTTCGAAATCGTCACTTCACTTGTGACCCGATAACTATAACTTGAACTTCAATATTGTGATGACGTTAAGTGTTAAGGGTTCCACTTAATGTGGGAATATTGGTTAATCATTACAACACTTAGTGGTTTAGTAAATATGTAGAAAGCTCTAATCTGGATCATTTTTCGCTTTAAAGATTTATTTTGGCATATTTCTCAATAATCCATCCTTTTTTATTTGAAAATCTCATGTCATTTTTCTTATATCTTATGATATCAATACAAAATTTCAATACAATCATATTGGTGCTAGTGTATTAAGAAAAAACGAGTAACAGAAGATAATTTAGATAGTTAATTTCTTTTATAAATATATTTTTCTTAGTGTGTCTTGATTATTACGGTCAAATATTCAAAGTTTATATTAATAAAGCTTAGAAACATATATATATATATATATATATATATATACATATATATATATATATCTTTATTTGTTAACATATTCATTACACTTCCGGCCAAGAATAAACATTTAATAATAAATCCTTTATCATATGTTTATACTTGTATATCTTGTTACCAATGCTTACGACTACGCTTAATATTTAGTTTGCAGCATCGCTTAAGTTAAATCAAACTTTCATATTTTTAGTAATATGAGCATAAAAAATAATATTTTTGAGTTTAAAATTAAAGGTGTAATAGAAAAATCTTGATCGGAATAAAAAGACTTTTCCTTTCATTAATGACTAACTTCATACAAATTAAAATAATTTAAAAATATTCATTTAAAAATATTCATTTTTGGGAATATAACATTTAATAGCAGATCACTTTTATGACAATTATTTGTTGGTAAAATTCAATAGCATTTTTTTTGTAAATGATACTAATATTTTTCAGCAACCGTGATCACGGTCAAAAAAGTAGCCGAAACGTTGGGAGTATTTAGTTTCTTATAAAAATAAAGTCGCGTAGTACAATTCGAAAAATATTGGTTTCATTTAAATGAACAAATCTCGCGAAAATCATAGTTCTCATCAATAATAACTTGATATTTAAAACTAAAATTTTCTACTACAATGTAATATTTCCCAGTTGGTAGTACGTCGGCGCGGTCGTCGTGGTGTTTACGCACAGAGATGCACACCGGTGTCCTTGGACGCTTATAGCTTGGACAGTGTCAGCGTGGGTTACAGGAAGGGCAACCAGAGACTGCGGGCCAGCAAACGGAGCTATGGGAACCCGGCTTATGATGATGAGGTTGGTGTAAAGTTCTTATAAAACTAAATATATAAATCGATATTAGTAGTTCTATTAACGTCACTACCCCTACTTACTTCGCATTGTCTAATTGCATGTGTGGAGGTTTTAGTCTTACGTTTAAAAATTATTGTAATATTTTACTGGATATTTGGTTGGTTCAAACTAGCTATAGAAATCGAATACCTCAACCAACACTAGTATTTTTATTAACGCCACTACAGGGGTAGTGATATTTAGTGGGTAGTGACGCTAGTTACGTTCGTGACTGAAGTAAGTAGGGATTTACTTTGCATCGTGTAATTACAAGTTTAGAGTCTCATTTTCACATTATTATTACTATATTTAACTTAATATTTGCAGGTAACTTCTCATCCGATGCAATACGCTGCTCTGGCTAACTTCGCACTCGACATAGATTCTATAACAGCTGAGTTCAGTGAGATCCCCTCAGTGTCGGTCCGCCCGGAGGAGGTTCCCCCAGGGTGTGAGGACAAGAACCGTTACTCCAACGTCCTGCCTCTCCCGGAGACCAGAGTCCCATTGAAGAGGATCGGCAATGATCCCACCACCGAGTATATAAACGCTAATTATATAACAGTGAGTACTTGCAGATTACGATGTAGTTAAATGCCCTATGTTTATTCTTTATGCTCCCTAAATTATTGTACAAAGGACAATGTCCAATTGGCCTAGCGTGAACAAGCTGCCATCAAAAAACAAGTTTATGAAAAAAATATATATATTTTTTTAGCTAGCCATTTTATTGTTGTTTGAGTGTACATTTGTATTTTATTGAAAAAATATTTTTAAAGTATCTTCATTGATTTGCTTTATTGATCCACGTTTTGTGTTACCAGCAAGATCTCGCAGTACTTAATACAACTATAAGTATTTAATACAAAAAAAAAAAAAATATTTGATTTTAATTAGTTTCGTCATTTAAAACGTTTTATAAACTGAAATATGAAGAATGTTAAACGTAATCATGTCTGTTTTCGATCGATTTTTTAATGATTTTTTTTATTGCAACACTTATAAAACAAAAAATACAAATTGACATTGATATGTCACAGACTGATTGTTTACATTCGCTATGTTTACCTACATTGAGAGTGTTGATTTATTATGGATTTTCTTTCAACGATTGTTTATTCATTATGGACTCCGACCTATCTTTTTCCAATGACCCCTGCACATCTACGGACCCCGAATTTCGCTCAAACGATGACCCTGGCTTTTGCATTATGGACTCCGATCAAGGCATAAACGATGACCAACACTCACGTAATATGGACCCCGAAACTAGCTCCATCGCTAACCACGGCTTTAATATGGACATTGAACAAAACCAAAGCGTGTCTCATGATAGTCTGCACACAGAAGAAGTGATTTCTTACCAATCCGTATCTCTGAGATGCATAAACTGTGGAACTGATTTGATAGAGCGAAGGCGACATAGTCTAGATCTTAATCAGGTTCAGTCTATTATAAGACAGTGGATAGCTCCTCGACGAGTAAGTGTCAATTCAATTAATTATTTAAATTACTCGTTTTTTAATAGATATGTATTGTATATGCTATTCCTATAATGCAAAATGAGGTTTTATTGTTTTATATAATTATAATCCTTATATACTTTTGTATTATAATAAATGAAAAGATGTTTACTCCTAACACATTAGCTGACTTTGTTATCGAAAATAATTTAAATAGAAGGCGGGCAGATTTTCAACCTTTAAATGTAAACATGGACAGTTTCATATTTCCAAGAATAGAATACAATGATCTTATATTTATTGCATGTGGAACATACCAACTAAAACAAGCTTGTTCATATTATGGGGAGCATATAAGAGGCGATGGTTCCTATACTATAGAAATATGTAGAAATATAGCCTGCGACCTATTGGTTGACTACCCCAAGGAATCGTCCTTTGGCCAACTGCATATTACTGCATAGAAAAATACAAAGCAGGCATGTAAGTCGAAAAATGTATTTTATATAAATATGTATTATATGAAAATAATCACAATGGTATGGAAGCTATAAAAGAATATTATTGTAATTGCATGGTTGAAGGACAGTGGGTTGCTGCGCTCATATAATGTCTATTTTATGGTTTTTAAGTTGGGCAAGGTATCAGGAACACATTTCACCACCTGTCCAATTTCTTGAACACATATTAATAACATATGATGTCTCAGAATAAAAATAAATCATAAAAAATGTTGTTTTATTTCGCTTTAACTTGTTTTTCCTCACATGACAAAATCTTTTTTTAAATAAACATTTTGATACAAAATTAAGTTCATATTCTCATTATTACTAGTTAGTGCTTTTAAACTAATTACAAAAAATATGATAAAATGTCTGTTCACGTCAGGCCAAAGTCCCCATAGTAAGTGGATCAATCTCCTTTAATATATTTATTTTTCAAATAATACTTTATACTTTGCAAAGTATTCAACTAATATATGTAAACAATCAAGTAGAACTTGAAATCGAATGGACTCTCTATTCAGAATTTTGGTGCCACTTTGAGAAGAGAATTTCTACGTGAAGCTATTTTAAATGGTTTTCGCACGTTTGGAAATTCTTTTATATACGACATTCGTAAATCGTCTTCAACTTCTCGTTTTAAATCTATCATTCTTGCTATCTCTATCTATGTATTCTTCTAATTCTAATCTAATACAAGCTGCTGCATTATGTGTAGGGTCCAGGTAACATCCACCGCTACTACATCGCCTGCCAGGCTCCTCTCGCCAACACCGTCGCCGACTTCTGGAGGATGATATGGGAACAGAACTCACGGCTCATAGTCATGCTCACGGAGTATATGGAGAATGGGGTGGTGAGTAACAATAATATACCCTAATGGTAATACCATTCCTAATATTCCCAATTAATAAATTGGGAATATTAGGAATGGTTCATGTGATGTATTATATTGCTACAAATATTTGAATCCAACTCTAGCGATTGGATAGAATTATCGTTCTTTTAGTAATACATGTCGTTTGATGTCAAAATGTCTAGGGCCTAGTATGAAGACGAAGGATAAAGAATTTCTAGATAATAATCAATTGCTAAATTCTCGGTTATAATTCTTGGTTTCAAACTCGGCTGGACAAATTTCAATTATAGATTAATTGCTTCAAAATATTTGCTACACAAACTGATAAAAAATTATGTCTTCTAAGATTTTTTCTGAACATTGAATGTATTTTAAAATCTATTTTATCTTTTATTAGAAAGAATTAAACTTATTTAATATATTTCTTTAATTTCTGTTTATTCAACTTTACGTGAATGTATAATATTGTTGTATAATAGTGTCCATCCATTATCTATTTCAGGAAAAGAGCTATGAATACCTTCCACCATCAGAAATATCAGACAACAAGAGAACCTTCGGCGACTTCCAGATTATATTGAAAAAACGAGAACAACGCGACAAATACGCGATATCCAGTATCCAGCTGATCAACATGGTGACGAGGACTTGGAGGGAGGTCACTCATCTTTGGTACTTTTGGCCGGCGAAGGGAGTCCCAGATGACTACGATTCTGTTATAGACTTCCTCTCGGAAATGAGGAGCTACATGAAGATATCACAGACGGCCAAGGAGTACGACGAAGATGGTACAATACATACTCTACATTTATATTATTGTATTATTATGATATCACTAGCTGCGCCCCGCGGTGTTACCCGCGGATTTCCGGGATGTAAAGTAGCCTATGTGTCAGCCTAGACGTCAGCTTCCTGTATACAAAATTTTATAAAATTCGGTACAGCCGTTTGAGCGTGAAGAAGTAACAAACATACACACACACTCACAAACTTTCGCAATTATAATATTAGTAGGATTACTGTTATGGTTAACTATGGAGCACTATTTCCATAGCTCAGATGAATAGAAATACATAATGTTTATTTTATTACATCTTTTTTTGGTCATTAGTTTAGATAACTCCGATCAAAGTCAACTAAGAATTCCATTTAAGCCAATTTAATTTGACCCTCCAGTTCTCGATATTTTATTATTTATCCCTGTTGCAGGTGTGGAGGTGATATACGAGGACGCCAGTCGCTCGTCCTACCAGAACCTGTCGAAGCTTCGTGAAGAGAACGGCTCCAGTAACGGAGTGAACGTGTACTCACCGGCTCGAGCTGAACAGATACAGAGGAGACAGACTACCAACGGCACCCTCGGACGGATGAAGACCGCCTCCGAGGTCGAAGGTTGGCTTTAATAGATACTGACTACATACATAATGAAAATCTAGTTCTATCGAAGAAATTTATTAAACATAATACTGAATTTAAGTGTTCTTTGCTGATATCTCTTCGAGAATTCAAATCCTAGCAGACATTTAATAAAATATTACATTTTGATATGCATAAGAACGTTAGCGTAATCAGCAAGGTCCTGAAATTGTGACATTATAAGTCTGCTATCGATTTCAAGCATGAATCAGTCTTCCGTTTGGATCTTATTAGTTAAGTGGTCGTATATAATGTAACATGTATTAGATATGTATATAGGGATCTTAGTAGTCAAATGGACTTTGTCATTCATATATTGTAACATGTGTTATACATATATATCGTTTGTAAGGTGTCCGTCCGTGCGTGTGCGTGTGTGCGTCAGGCGCGGGTCGGTCGTGCGCGCTGGTAGCGGCGGAGGTGTGTTCCCGGTCGCTGGCCGGAGGTCGCGTGGACGTGCCGCGGACTGTGCGCGCGCTCAGACAACAACGACCTCACGCGCTTGCTAACAGACATCACTATGTGTTCCTCTATAGGGTGAGAGATGATAGCTTAGAATGTACAGGAGTCTTAGACTGAAGGAAGAGGCATTTAAGTCATTCAGAACTCCTAAAATACACAGCCAACAAGAATTGTCAGATTTGGCTGAGTTTCTGTGTAGTACAATCATATTCTGACCATCAAGCAGTGACTTTAGTGATGTTTACGAGTATATTTTGTGTTTAAAATGTTGTCACCTGTAGCCTATAATATATGATCTTCGTTATCTAATGAACCCACTCGGCCATAATATACTTTATCTCATCTCATCTTGTGGTCATATATCATGAGCTACTTTCAGTATCTTAGACTACATGAAAGGAACAGACTGGTCATAGTACTTTCAATCTAATCCACAGACAATAAAGTTCAAAATTGAGTGTAAGATCAAATCTAATAAAATACGAAATATTTCTTGCAGCTGCTGAGCGAATACGGCAACAAGTTAATGGGAGGCGGCGTGGACACCATCTGAGGACCAGCTCTCGCCAGCCTCACCTCACTTTCTATGAGTACAGCTATATAAGACACGCGGCTTGTGGAGGTGCTTCGTTTATATATTTAAAAGGCTTTAACTAGTTTAATACTGTTCTATATTCTCAATAAGTTCCGTATCTCGTCCAGTCTCCGTTACTCTGTATTGGATCATACCAAAGCGTCTAGCGATCTCTACTGTGAGTGATCAACGATACTAACTGAATAAAATATGGACCTTTGTAAGTTTTTATATCGCCATTTAATTGGCCCTTTTTCATATCAGTAATTGAGAATAATAAAAGATATACATATATTATTATTATTAGTACTTTTTATTCTAGTTAATTATTTGTATATATATGTAAGTCTTGCACTCTAAGTACGAGTTACCATCCTCTCCCTAAACGATGAGTGTCGATGTTTGGACACTGTTAGTGTTTAGTTTTGTCGTTAACTCGTTCTAAGGCTGCCGGTGAGCGATGCGAGGTAACGATACGTAATGACCGCCTACCACCTACCATCGAAGGTAGAGTCTTCGTTACCTCAACATTCACTATAACGACATCTGCTGTGATTTCTACTAACTTATATCTAAGTCATCTCTACTAACATCTAGTACAAGTTCATCGTAATCTCGACCCTATGTGTATGTAGACACGTGCTAGTTTAGTCCGACACTTGTTTGTTTATTTCACTGTCTATTATAATTTTATTTATGTTATCGTTGTAAAGAATTATAGTTTTATAAGTTATTGTATTGAAGCATTTATTATATGGAAATACACGCACGGCCCTGTAACATTCTGTTGTAACATGCTAGTATACTAGAGCTTTTACATATTGTACCAAAAATATTTAGCGAAATTATGTCTTTACAGTCCTACGATTAGTTGTAAGGTAGCTGATATAATAAAACTTCAGTTTATAAAGTGTCTTTTATTTTGCCTTCAAAGTGTCTGTAGAGTATTGATGCTGGAGTGTTCAGGGTCTGCAGCGAAGTCTTCTTCTATAATAGAAGCTGTATCATCATGTTGTTCAGTCTTGATCAGTTCTTCAATGTCCTCGTCCAAGTAACTCTCATCAGAGCTCGTGGACTTCTCCTGGTCCTGTATATTAAAGATATCTTTTTCTTCTATGAACTTAACTTTTCCTGATGTTTGGTACTGTTGTACGTCCTCTGATTTTTCTTCTGTCTGCATTGGATTTTCATCCAAATTAATATTATCATGTTCAGAAACTAGAGAAGCAGACGATGATATTCTGTGACCTGAAAAATTTATATAAAATCTTTGTATAATGCTGATAATAATATTTGTTAAGTAAGTGGTTACTTACACTGTTCATAGCTTGAAATGAACACCTCTTCAGGCTGAAAGATGTAAGGGAAATCATTACTAGGGAATATCTATATATTATATGTCATACATACTCGTATATGTATTATTACAATCTGTTGTTGATGTCTGTACATATCTAGAGTGTGATGTACGGCGCCTGTGACTTCATCAGAAACATTCACGTCCTGAAATTACATATTAAGATTTTATATGTCTTCTAGTGTATACGTCGTAATAATTTAAAATGAATACAAACTTACAAAAACATCTTCACTAAAAACATGTCTGTTGAAAGATTTCTGAATGACTTCTTGAATGGAAGTCAACTGTGCCTCGTCAATATTTAGCTTTTTGGCCAACTTTATCAACAATTTTTGTTCTTCGACTGTTGATAGTTGATACATATAAATAAGTTCGATATTAAATTAAAATTATCACTAAATAATTAACAATTACCGTTGCCTCTTTCAAAATGATCTTCAATAATTTTTATAGCACTATCAACATCTTCATCGTCTAAACCAATAGCCTTTATTTCATGGTATAGATTTGAATCACAGTTGCATTTGTAAGTGTCGTTGCATATGTGGCAAGCGATGGCCAACTTTTCTCTCACTTCTAATAAAACTTTAAGGTAACCAACTATGAATTGTATCACATCATTCGGTTGAGATCTTAATACCTTGGACAAATGGAAATAAACAGCATTAATATTACAAATTCAAATTACTTTCATGTATAATATACATATGTAAGTCGTACCTCTCTTGAAATATCAGACATCAAATCTTTCAGTCCTTCAGGTAACGCCAAGTTACAGCTTTCTTTTATTTGAGACTGAAGTAGATCCATTTTTATAACAAATGGTCACAAAGCATTCCTGTCTATTAAATCAGGACGGTCCCGCTAAGTCAAAAAGAGCTACTAGAATTGTAACATTTCAAAATTGGATATTTTAAATATTAGAATGGCATAATTAGAAATAATACGCAATTCATACTGATAAACACCTTTTTTTATAAAACATATAATTTATCGCAGATTGAGAATATATCAAACATTGCCCATTTTGAATTTTGAATCGAAAAAAGATTAAATTATATAAATAAAGTCTATCCGTCTTCTTCGCCTGCATCTTCTTGTTCAGCTTCAGATGTCGGAGCTGTTTCAGGTGCAGAAGATGCGACCGACGTCGTTGGTACACTCTCCGCCTCACCCTCGGATTCTGTTAAATATTTTTTGCAGTATAAGCATTGTGAAAGAAGTTTCACCAAGCTTAATAGTATAATGAGAGCTAAGATTTTCGCGAGTACTCATTTAAATGAAACTAATATTTTCGGATTATACTTCGCGTTTTATTTTTGATCACATCTCGTCTGCCCGTGATTACGGTTGCTCAAAAGTAACCGAAACGTCGGGAGTATGTAGTTTTTAATCAAAAATAAAACGCAAAGTAAAATCCGAAAATATTAGCTTCATTTAAGCTTAATAGTAATTTCCATTAGTAGGTAGGTATTATGTACCTGGTAAATCCTCCGGCACCTCATCAGCCTTTGTATCTGTGTCGGTAATATCAGTGTCTTCCGGAGCCAGAACTTCCTTTATTTCTTGGTCTTCCACAACAGGCACAACAGTAGATTCATCTGGAAATACTTGCGGCGGTACCTGAATATTAACGAAATACCAATAAGGTGTGGTTGAGATATGAACAAAAATATATATGACAGTTTACCAAGGAGAATGAAATTTTTTGCATCGCTGTGTCTTCTTCGATAATGTAGCTCGGCCGTTCCTTGGAGATGCTGACTACACGGCTTCGTTCTGCAAATGAAATATAATATATTATTAATAAGACGATTATTGAGAAGTTTCTTAAATCTGATCATCAAAGATCATTACCGTCTGCTACACTGGCGGTTCTGCTCCGTCGTTCACCAGTCGAAGAACGGCTGAACCTGTCTCTGGACATGATGTAGTCAGAGACTTCATCAGCATCTTCGTCTGGTACGTGTGTTATGGTTTTCATGGGATCATATTGAAGTCCAAGCTTCTCTGTCGTATGTTGCTCGAACATACTTCTTATGTCGTCTTCTTTTACAGTGATACTCTTATGGAAATAGAGAAATAAATGTTAATATTACTATATTTGTGAAAAGAGAAGAAAATAGCATGGGCCGTAGTTAAAGGAATGAAGTTACGCTTAGGTGACGCGCATTAAGATTTGAAAAAACTTAACTATTTCATGAAAATTATTTATTATTCGCAACTATTTAAGATTCAATTATTTTGACAAAACTTACAAGCAATGGGCCTAAATCGATTTCTCTAGATTCAGCGACATCCAGTGGTGCTCCTGGCAGGTCGACTTTAGGACCTTTCTTCTTTGGCTTCTGTTTCAAATGACGCAGAATATTTCTTCTGACATGGTATCCCCGGTATGCGGCCTACAGAGAACATTTTAATAGATTCAAGTCAATATTTGTCACTCAATATCTAGGTTGCTCCAAGCATTGATTATTCAAGTCAAGGTTTCAGTATAAACTTTGTTCGTTTCATATATTATATTACTGATTCATTTAGTCACCTGTATCTTCTCAGTGGCGCGTGTTAGTTCGCTCATGGATGGTTTTGTTCTCTTATATAGTTCCAAGGTACGCTGAGCTGCTATCTCCCAAGGCTCCTCGGGTTTAATTTTCAATGACTGAAACAATACGTCGTTTATGAATTCAAATCGAATGTAAATAAACTCATTGATAAGATCTTAGATTATTTTCAATAGAACTTTTCTTTGACATTTACAACAATTTATTATAATAAAAAGATAATTAAAGTTTGACAATGTAATAATATATAAGATACTAGTTGTAGTTTTCTTGTTAGTTGTCACTGTGAGTATAAGAGAGAATTTATATCTTTATGAGTCCTAAATGATACTAATATTTTTGGATTACTACGCGTATTTTATTCTTTTTAAAAACTACATACTCCTGACGTTTTGGTTACTTTTGCAGCAACCGTGATCACGGGCAGAGGAGATGTGAATATCATTCGCGTCGGGAGTATGTATAATTTTTAAATAATAAAATACGCGTAGTAATCTGAAATTAGTTTTTTCATTTACACTTCATTCATTGATAACTGAATATTTACCTTTTCTAATGATTTCTTCCTGTACCAATAATCTCGGTATGCGTTTCTAGCAACCTGACATACCTTGGTTGTCATCACCTCATCTAAAGGATATTTTTTGAGTATCCTTTTTAATATTTGACTCTCTTTCAATGAATCTGAAAAATATAGTTGGTAAATAACCTTACATATTATAATGTTATTAATACTTTACTAAACCTTTTTCGTCAGCTTGAAACGCTTCGATTTCCTCCTTAATTATTTCAGAGAGATTTTCCGCTTCACTCTGAAACATAAGTATATATAATTGATAAAATAATCGTATTTGTCTTTGCACTCAATATATTTTAATAGAACCTGGTCCATTCCCAGTTGAATGAGATGTTGTGATACGGACGGCCGACAGTCACACAGGTCTTCAAGTATACTGACTGCCATCACACCGTGTTCTCTGGTCAGCATCATCACTGACAGGTAGTTGGATATGAAGGCAAAAATGTGCTTCGGTTGTTCACGCAAAACCTGGATATACAATATGTTAAGAGCACAGTTAAACTTAGTTTTATTTTCTCAAAAACTTTTTTAATTTTGTTTGGACAATTATCGACAAATTTTCAAGATATATATTTAACTCTTTTTCCACTTTATTATAATGTTAAATTGATATTTGATTTCCTTATGGTGACCATCAACTTTACTAAACCTTTAATATTATAATTTCCTTAAATTATTTTTATTTAAATATAATCTATATCAAAAACCAAAGTTCCGTTTTCAATAAATATTAGCGCTCATGAAACCATATACACTATTTTAATATAAAGTATCCCTAGTAAAATAAAAAGGACTTCCTTTATAAAAGCCTTTTAAAGCTGATTGCTGGCGCAGTCTGAGTATCCTGTGTCATGTGACATCGAGGTGTAAGTAATCTGATACTACACAGAACAACGCCTTTCATAATATTAATACAATAATACGAGGGAGTAAAGGAACGGTGACGTATCTAGGCGGCCTACTAGAAATTAAACGGTATACCAAATGGATTTTATCAAAAATCTAGGTGCATTTTATGACGTGGGCTACAGGAGTGAACTAAACTGTCGCATACTTACTTCTCGTGAAATATCAGACATAAGTTCTTTGAGTCCTTCGGGTATTGAGAAAACGTTTGCACACCCATGTTTCTGTAACAATTCATTCATCTTTATATTCTTCCTCTAAAGATTCCTTTAAAGATTTCTACTACGTCATGTGTCAATATTACATCTTTATTCTGTATGTAAATATATTTTTAGAATATGTCAATCATTATGACGTCAAAATTTCGAATTAATTTTCATACAAAAAGTAATACGCAAAAGAAAAGTTCCACTAGTTTTATTGTGACCGTGTAGAAAGTCCTTTTTTAACTTTAGAAAGATATTAGAATTATTTTTTTATATACCTTCATTCAAAAAAATCCTTGTATATAAATATAGTATATCATTATTAGTTAATACATAATTATAACAAGAAAGAGTTGGACAAATAATTACGGCAATTCACAAAGTGTCGTTTCTTATGTACTAAATTTAATAAGGTTAATGATGCAAATACATACAAAGACAATCAATTTAATTATAGTTCTATTATTTATTACGTACATTTACAATGACAAACATACACTCAAAAATTTTCTTACACTAGTCTATTAGGGCCATAATAAATAATATATATGCACTAGAAGACCCGGCGAACTTCGTATCGCCCTATAATCAAGAAATATTTGTTACGTTTTTTTTATTTATATTTTTGGAGTTTACCTATTAAAGCCATAAATCTCCGTGTTTTGACGTGCGACAGAATGATTGACATATTAGTTAGTTGTCAAATCTAATGTCAAAAAAAATGTTTGTATCAACAACTACTAATAAATTAAAAATTAATTAAAAAAACATTGTCCAGCGGACAAAATTGTGAATCTAAACCATTCCCAGATCCCCTTGAACACACACAAAAAATTTCATCAAAATCCGTCCAGTCGTTTGAGAGAAGTTCAGTGACATACACACTCACAGAAGAATTATATATATATAAAGATATGTATTTTTACAATAAATGTGGGTAAATGCCGATGTGATAAACATCTAATATAGTGAAATGACGTAGGTATATTTTTTTAACATCATCTGTTATTTTCTATAAAAAGTATTTTCAATTCAATAAAAAAATATGTTCTGACAAAATATTAATCTTGCTCCACAACAATTGCGTGTTCTATTACGAGTAACAAAAATTATACACCTCTGTTTGAATATAATTTTTTGTTTGAAGTCATTTAGTTATACTTACTTCATATTGTTGATAGAAAAAAAATTCATGTTATTACAACAGTACAATAATTACTTTTTAAACTTTTGCATATCCTTTTGTTATAATCTTTGAATATCAAATTATCAAATTATAGTAAATAATCCCGAAGTTACTCCATTACTTGTTTGATATCTGTGTATTTTCATTATACATGTACTACAATCATCATGATTATACGTTTCATGACATCAAAATGTATAAACGCGATAATGCATTTATTAATTGCGTCCCTTTCATACTTACGAATCGATGATAAGAGTGAAAAGGATATTTACATTGGATTATCCCTAATAATTTATGTCAAAACTTGCTACATTTCGTAAATAATAGATATTATATGTGTGTGTTTGTTGTAATCAAATAATTTAATAGCGGTGTATCCGTAGTGTGGTCAGTACTCAATCTTAGTCGGGTTTAAATTAGACTAATGACGAGGCGTGAAGTCTGTTACACAATACAACAGTCAACAGTGTACAGTCAAAGTGTAAGGAATAAGACGTACTGAGGTGTTCCGGACGTGTCTTATAATGTATTAAAGGAAATTCATTGATAACGAACTGAGTCGTAAATGATATCGCAGTGTAAATACGAGATTAGTTCCACTGTAACGAATACAGGCGCGAGTGCGGCCGACTGGTGATATATTAGTTTAAATTATATTGAAATAATATACGAAATGGACGTGTCAACGGCGAAGGCCATCGCCATGCTGTCGTTGGGGCTGGGCAGCTTCATAGCGGGGATGCTGCCAGCGTGTATCTCACAGAGTTCGAGACAGAAACATCCTTTGTTAATATCCTGCTTGCTTTGTTTCGGCGGCGGCGTACTTCTCTCCACCTCTTTGGTCCACATGCTGCCTGAAGCACGAGAGAAGTACCCTCGATATTCAGAACTGGTTCTGTGCGCTGGTTTCTTCATGGTTTATCTGGTGGATGAGATCGTTCATTTCTTTTATGGTGCGAATGAGCGGAGACATCTTCCGAGCGGATTGGCTGATGGAGAGATGAGTCATAGAGCCAGTGATCGTATGAGAAGTCACAGGTCGTATGGGATTGGAGAGGAAACTAGTCTTTTAGCTCGTGGTCTGGGTGCTGGAGATCAAGAGTTCAGCCAGCGGTGTTGTGGGGACGTGGGGAACCCTAGGATGTGTCACGTCAGTCATACGGAACCCTGTAATAAGGGAGCGTCAGGGGTCATCGGATTACTTTGTGCTTTGTTTGTACACAGTCTGCTAGAAGGACTGGCTATTGGCTTGCAAGAAACCGCTTCGCAGGTGAGAGATATTTTCTTGTACAATTTCTATTTTATTATTTAAATAATGATTTATAATTGTCTATATAAATATAATCTTAACACTGTGACATAATATTCATAATTTGATACTATAGTTTCGGATTTAAAACCACAAAGATGGTCGTTAACCTGTTCTTAAATTACGAATTATCCTTTACCTAAAGGTATTGTAGTGTATTATAATGGACACATAAATGACTTTTTCTAGATAAAAATATAGTAATGAGGTAAATACGGCATTTAATATAAAGACGTAGTTAGAATCTCACCTTTGCACTAATTACAAACAAGGTTCTGCCCCCAATAGTCTTCGTTATTGGGGACAGTTGGTACTCATTAGGAACAATAAGTACTTAATATCAACTGCAAGTATAGTCACTGAAGAGCTTAGCTCATTTCAGGCTTAGAAGTGATGCCATCTCCGAGAAAGGGGCTAAAGGAAAATAGCTCATATTTATATGACTATTACAGTTCATCTTAAAAGTTAATTCTGTACTGTCAAAGCTGAGTAATAACTTTTTTATAGACATTTATTTTGACTTATTGATACAAATACATTATTTAGACCTTCAGAAACTGAAAATAAAAGGTGCTTTTATTTAAAGAAATTCCGTTTCCTTGTATTTTAATAAGTTAATTTCATTTTCATTGGTAATAACGATAGCTATGACATAATTATTATTGTACTACATTTATTAATTAATTTACAATGTGCGTGTTTTGATACGCAAACAGATTTATGTTTGTTTATCTAGAGATGTGTCTCCTGAGTTATTATCATACTTGCATTACGTAAAGTGAAGGTCGTCATTGCGAAATACTGAACACAAAATTAGTCATAAGAATAGTGAATTAAATCTTCTTTCTAGCAATTATCCCAGCTTTAGCCAGTCTGCCTTCTTGCTCAAACTCCTCCACTTTGCACGTTCCTTGACAAAGAATACAATTAAATACTTATTTGAAGTGTGTATTTTTATTGTTAATTTTTTCCTTTCAGGTTCTTCTGCTTTTCGCAGCCGTGGCGTGTCATAAATACGTTGTAGGTTTTTGTCTGGGTGCTGAGATATGTGCCAGTGGTGTTGGCAGGCTCTGCGCTCACCTGGCCTTCATCACACTGTTCAGTGGAGGGTCTGTGGCGGGCATCGCGATAGGTGCCGGTGTGGGCAGCGTCGGCAACATGAATGATTCTGTTGTTGTACCCATCATGCAGGTATATTAGGTCAAAACAAAACAAAATGAACTGTTTTTAAATAGGTTTTTGGAAGCGTATTTGAATAGCCCAAGTATCGCTTTTAGATAGATAAAAAATGGACAATGCTTGTGGCATATGTACAAATAAAAGAAAGTCGTAGTTACATTCTTTATAAAACAAGAACGGCTGTACGGGTTTGGCTGTAAATTTGTGGAGAGATAGCTTAGAACAATGGAAATGACATAGCCTACTTTTCATTTGATTGAAAAAGAAAAAAATTATAATTTTATACAATACAACATCTTCTTATCAGTCTTTAATGATTTCTAATTCACAAACTGACGTAGACAAAAACTAATATAAAATAAAGAAATCTTTACGACCATTTTGAGTTTCCTAAGCAGACAAAACTATCTCTATACATGTTTTGCTCCAGGCGTTGGCTGCGGGTACTCTCCTATACGTGACGGTTAGCGAGGTACTACCCCGGGAGCGAGCTCGGTGGCACGGCCGAGGCCGGGGCCCGGGACTAGTACAGATGATCTCTGTAGCTGTAGGATTCGTCCTCATGTACCTTTCTACCGCATATATTGGTAAGGAACAAGTCGTTAAATATGTGTATAATAAAAAAGATACTTTAATTTGCTCAAATAAGTAATTAATGTTAATTAATCTATTTTTGATATTCTTTACAGATCATGATGCTGTTTAACTTCTGATGTATCTGACTTACCTTATCTAGTTCTTGTAAGATAATGTTTTTAAATGTCTCGCTAGTTAAGTTTTATAACTGAGTACTGTATTGTAATGACCTGCTTGTATTGAGTGGAACTTTGACAATAAAACCAATTGTGGTTTTAATATTTTTATTTTATTTAAATAATATTTTTGATGTCAACAAATATTTATACATCGACGCTGATGTTTCTGTCACTGTTTACCAATAATTCATTTTACCCACATTTTTACACGTAAGGCGATAATTTTAAGTAGTTGTTACAATTAATTTCGAACTAAATTTGGTATGAGTAAAATTAGAGAATAAATACAATAAGTACTACTAAAACAACGGTGTTAAGGCTATTTTATACTTTAACAATCTAAAATCTGGTATTTTGATTATTTTTACAAATAAAAATAGACATGGCACTGTTACGTGAGTTGCTAGCATATTAAAATTGCCGTCAGCGCCATCTATGAGCGCATCTAGACAACCACACTTCGCTACTCCGCGATAGATGGCGCTGAGTAATTTTATTTTCTACACTGAACATAGAGTTCTCTGTGATTTAATTTCATTTCCACATAAATGCACAAAATAATCTCAGTCCATAATACTATTGTTATATTATATACATGTATGTATGGAGGCGATTCTCTTCATACACTAATATCCATACAAATATCGGAATACCTCGTATTACACAGTATAAATAAATGGATAAATCCTTAACAGCTAATTATAAATACAATAAAAGTATTACAAAATAGAAAATAATACAGATCTTTGACTCGACGCTTACATCTACCGAGAAGTACCTACAAGAAAATACAATAACAAAAAATAGCAAATTGTTATTTTAGAATAAATATTCTTAATGTTTAAGTAAGAGAGCGTTGGTAAAAGAAACTTTGTTCTCTTTAAACTTTTCAACTTGAGGATTGTTCTGATGAATCTTTTATTTATATAAAGGCATCGTAGAAAATACAACTAGATAATTGACACGTCTCTGTGCAGTGCAAAAGCTACAGGCCGTGGTGATAGTATCCACATTTAGTTTTGGGCCCTTTTGATTTAAATTTATTGTCAATAGTATTGTTTGTATAAAATTATTGTCAAAATGTATCCTAAAAATACGTTATAAAATATTCGTTCGTTAACTTTTGTATGAATAATATTTTGTAAATAATTCGCAAATAGATTGTATTAGACGAGTACATAGTGTCGGCGTGTTGATGACGATCTCTGAATCAGATCGACTCACACGCCTGAAGAGACGAGGCACAGTCACAGGTCCAGCCGCTTTACAGCACACGATAACGACACTAACACTTCACGCCACTTCACTGTTCTGTCCGTGTGTCCGTGTCGTCCCCGTGTCGTCAGTCGTCGTCGTCCCGGTCGTGTCTCGCCCTCTTCCTCTGCCTGTGTCGCTCGAGTCTCCTCCGATGGGTCCTTCGTTTCGGTGACAGCTGACACTCGCAGCCAGCTCGCACGATCACATAGTCCATGGACCAGCCTCCCGACCCCGGCACCGAGAAGTGTCCCTCGGGCCTGTGTTGAGGGACCTCGGTGGGGGAGGAGTAGCGGACCAGCGCGTACGAGTACGAGTACTTCTGAACACATCGCGACTGGTTGTACAGGCGTGCGTCCACGAAGCGGCACGGCTTGTCGGCTACATCTGGCGCGCACGAGAGCTCGTACAGTCGCTGTTTGTTCTCGCCATCCTCGTATAATTCCACGTACAGCCCTGTAGGCGTCCTGCCTCCCTTCTTGGCGACCATCTCCAGCACAGAAGGACAACACTCCACCACGTCCTTCTGAGATCCTTCCTTCCTTAATATCGATTGCATCTCTCGCCAGTGCGACCGCTTCCACGCCGCCGTCGCGTCCAATTCGTCGTCCGTACTACAAATATAATATATACATCTTAGATACAGTTTTAATTAAAACAGACTGGAATCTTGTAATGCTTGTTAATAACGAAGATCGCGTTCATTACTAATATAAAGGTTGTAAAAGATGAGTTCATTGGATGAAATATACTGAGATTTGTGTTAAGGGAATGTAAATGAAGTGGTTCCTAGCCAGTATGGAGTTATAATCATGTGCGTTATATTCCTCGGGATGGTCGTGAGGATGTCGGCGGGAACATTACACAGATATAACAATAAACACTAATGGTAATGATGTTTTCATTGCGTCTACAGCGGACCGGCTCCCGACACTTATATAATGATATTAGCAAAACGATTTGAAATACTGAGATTTTAAACACATGTGATTATTATGTGAAACAAGTATCTCCTTGGAATAAGGTATTTTCTATAATTAATAATGTCTTGTATCGACTTCTGGGATTATCAACTAGTGTATAGTGTTTTCTTCATATTATTTACAGATATTTTTGAATATTAAAGTTTAACGCAACATACTATTGTCTAAATGTTGGGAATTTACCTATATTATAATGTAACTACTGAATATACCTATATCGTATATATGGTATCAAAGATTTAATTACAAACTAATTTATATCGCCTGCTTGATTTTTTCGTAAATTTTACTTGAATTCCAAATATATCAAACAATTCATTTAGAATGAACAAAATGTATTCCGACTGAAAGAATATATATCGTATAGGGACAATGGATATTAGAATGTTCGTGAATAATCGTGAATGTTCGTGTATGTTCGTGTATGATCGTGAGTGTTCGTGAAAGTTCGTGTATGTATAGTACAAATGTTATACTGACAGCACACGGTGGTGATGCGGCTGTGCTCGACGCACGCGGCTCTCGTCGCCTGCGCCCGCCACCGCCCCACACAGGACCTGCACACACACACACATTATATACATTATAATTATATACACACTATATAGAGGTTCATCTCACATAGTACACATAGGTAACTTTACAGTTTTCAGTCATTTATGATATAGGAATCTAATAGGTCTGAAATCTAATTGTCATTTTAATACTTATTTTTATACTTATATATAAGGGATCTATAGAGGCATGCACTCTCATTGAATTCACTAAGCGTCGTTCGTAGATATTGGAACGGTAGAATTCTAGATGACTATGAAGTTAAGCTAATAAAAGGCATATTTTTTAGAGCAAGGCTGTTAAAAGAGTTCTCGCAGCTATATATGGTACAAAAGAGAGCAGAGTTTTTTTCAGAGACACAGTTCCGGCAATAACTGTACTTACTACACTCATCTAGACATAACAAAGCTTTTTTCCTTACAAAACATAATATGACAACCCAATTGTTCTTTAAAGATAACTCTTTATTGTTAACTGTTTAAAGACAAATATTCATCATCGTACAACTATTTATGATACTTTGTTTGTTTCCTTTCTTTTCTCGTGAGTTGTTTTGAAATAAATAAATAGAAGGGCGCCGTCGCGACGCGGCAAAGTCTCCGGGTGACTGAACGTCTTATATATAAAATTATAATCGTTTCTTTAAGAAATAAACAAAAAAATGTGATTAAAAAGGTGGTTACTAACGTGAAACAAAAAGAGAATCAACAATTAAATGTCCATGCTTTCCTTGGGTATATTTTTGCACTAAAATAACGATACCAAACTAATTATTTAGATTGTCAGATTAGCTGTCATTGTCAGATGTCAATCTATGCTTTCATAAACCTATGTAGATTCCAGTACTAAAAGTTAAGTTTTAATAATATCTTTCTTGTTACTTTACGTAAATTTTAAGTAGTAATTATGTATTATTTTATGAAATTAATAGATTGTATAATTAAATAACATTTCTTCTAACAATAAATAAGCTATCAATTTAATATCATTAATATTTTCATATAATATAAATATTGAACAGTACTTATGTAACTTATTTGAAAGCTGACTAATACAATACTCTGCTCGTGATTTGTAACGAGAGCCATGAAATCTTGAACCGTTGTTTATTATAGCTCTTATTGTTATAGTAATAGAGTATATTTTATGTTATATATTAATGAGTGTTTCAGCTTCTGTGATTTACTCGTGTCGGAATTGACTCATACAATTATATCGTAACAATAATATGAATTGTTTGTTAATTTATATATTATATACATTACTTTATATTATGTTAATAGTAAGACTATAGTAATATAAATGACTTGTTATTTCATACTTCTTCTTCTTCTACCTAGCAATTTCCCAGATTTAGCCAGGGTCTGCCTAACATGTTGTGAATAGTTTTGGCTAATTGTTTTTACGACCGGCCGCCTGCCTGACATCAACCCTCTTTGGGAATTATTTATTACTTGTTATTTCATACTTCATTCTACTGGTTTACTTATAATATGTATTTTAAATTAATACTTGTGTTGTTGTTTATATTTAAAAAAATATTAATAATGGATTCGGTAATATTGGTAATCCTTTTAATAGTATTTTTATCTAGGAGAATAGAACAAATACTCTCTAAAAGTAAAATTGATAAATTTGGATAAATCTCCTTCAAATTAAATTTAAATAAATGAAAGGGTGCAAATTAAAGAAAATAATCTGTTAATCCCTACTAATATTATAAATGCGAAAGTAACTCTGTCTGTCTGTCTGTCTGTCTGTCTGTCTGCTACGCTTTCACGCCTAAACCACTGAACTGATTTTAATGAAATTCGGTACAGAGATAGAGTTGACCTTGAGAAAGAACATAGGATAGTTTTTATCCCAGACTTTTGAAAGGTTCTCTTGGAAACGCGATATGACCGAACTCCACGCGGCGAAGCTGCGGGCGGAAAGCTAGTTATATATAAATATCAATTGGATTGATGATAAAGGCTCATATAGTTTATTAAATTTTTTACGTAATAAAAATATGACGTCATAATATTTCATTTCAAAACCTTTTTCTATAATTCCTTTATTTCATATATGTTGTCTAGTCTAGAATGTTTGTTAAATGTAAAAGCTCTGCCCGCTGATGACTTTTCATTAGATTTCAAGTTCGCTTTCAATACAAACATAACTTTTACTCGCGACTCCACTCGCTGTGTTTGTTTTCTTATCGAAATAAACTCGACTATACGATTTCACGGATAATATAAAAAGGGAAAGTGTCTGAAATGTTTCATATGTCAAATTTAATAAATAATCATTTGAATGAAACTAATATTTTTGGTTTACTACGCGTTTTTTTATTATTATAAACTACGTACTCCCGACGTTTCGATTACTTTATACTTTATAGCAACCGTGATTACGGGCCGACGATATTTCTCAGATATTAGTCACTCCCGAAAATCTTAGATCTCATTACATAATTATTTATTTAATCTATAAATCTCGTTTTTCTTGAAATGTATGTAAATTTACCCCAAGTAAGCAATTGTCTCCTACATACGTCGCGTTAACAGTTTTTCAACTTATCAAATTTTTGTATTAAAGTAAGTGACTGAGTACGAAACGGGAAACTGTACGTATTTAGTATGATTAAGCAAACCTGTGTTAAGTAATGTAATATATTAAAATATTTTGTTAGAAAACTTATAAGTCTAATTTACATTTATATAGTATGATAATAAAATGTAATATTTAATATCTAATTAATTAAAACTCCATCAATTCTTTATTTTAAAAACATCTTATGTCGCGAAGATATTTTCAATTTATAAGATTTTAACTTGAATATATTAATTTATTGAATTAATATATGGAATAATTATTTATTTGATAGTAATAAATTTCTTCAACCTTACTAATCGTTTGTTTCGACACTCTAAACCGACAGTTTCCAGTTTTACGAAGATTAAATGATAACTTTTCATATTGTACCTGAACCTAACCGAACCGAACCGTCCACTGAGCTATCGAGTTCTTATGAATTATAAAAAGTAACAAACTTCAATGATATATATTGAAGTATAAGTGAAGTGACAGCTTCAGACATTATGAAGCTGGTATTTATTTATTTATAAGTCAAGCTGTTTTCCGCCGTTAATATATATGTAGATTTCTTTTAAAACGCATCCAAATGTTGTATTTTGAGATTCGCGTGTGAATACTATTTAGGCGACTTATATACTATTATAATTTTTACTTATATTTTTTATTTTATTTCATATAATCTAAATAATCAATTAATTATTAATCTAAATGTTTGTGAAGTCTCTGTATCCTAGATTTAACGAATAACGATTGTATTATTATTGTAATAGAGTTTTAAATCCGTAATTCGGTTTTAATATATAAGGAATATTACAAACAGGAAATATTAAGAGGCGTAGAGTAGAATAATGGTGATAGTTTTAATAAATGTAGTCTGCGGGCGGATTATAGAAGTGAGAAACAGGTGGTAGTGCGATGGTTATCAAGAATCATGAATATTAATTACATATGAATACTTAATATCATATGTATTGAATTTGTCAAGTTTTCTTTTATTCTCATACTTTATGTATATTGTCTATTCCCTAAATTATGAACCGAATTAATATTATAATGTTAATCAAATTACGGTACTCCGTATCAATGAATATATTGAAAATGTTATAAAAATATTTAAAAACCAACATAAAATTTTTAGACTTAAATATGAGATCGTAAAAATTTAATTAATATTGTACATTCATTGGAACGTTGACTGAAACATTATTTGATTGATGAAGTGTCACTTATAATTTACGACGAGTATTATGTGTTACGACCAGTTGATTTGTTAATTATTATTATAATATCGCGAAAAACAATATTGTTTAATTATTATATATTAAATATTAATCATTAATACTCAGCAATATAAGTCTTTGTTGGCTGTATTTGTTATATCAAAGTAACAACTGACCATAAATAAAATTATACCCTGTTTATATCAATATAAATAAGATTTATAATATAATTGCATTATTGCCAGTGAAAATCGTAAGTAGGTATCGTAAATCATATAGAATAAAGTAATCACATAAAATTGTGGTTTACGGAACTATTAAAATTTGGATGTCAAACAGATTTTACTGTTGTTGTGAGCGTAGAGATTATGACGTACGATTTATGAAGACTAAACATTGGATTATGTTAAAAGGACTCCTGGGACTGTTTATTATGAAATGATACGTTTTAAATCAGAATAACTAATAATGTATATACATTGTACAGATAGAATAAGTTCACATTTTTTAGTCACGTTTTTATATTGAATTTATTTGTAAGTCGATACAATTTATTAACTATTTTATTGGAAAATATTAAATGCTCCTTATATTGTACGTTTATATGTATAATAATTTCATTTCAAAAAAGATATTGGGAATCTGTTTTTCATTTGAATTTCTTAGAAATTTTATTTAAAATAATATTAAGATCTATTGTTAGATAAAACAATTATTATTATACTAAAGATATATCTATTTATAACAATAATATAAAATGTGTGTCTTAGTGTCTCGATGTGGATGTTCTATAAACAGCTACTGATTATGTTTTACGACCAGTTACCTATAAAAGTCATAACAGTATAAATTGTAAACAAAAAATATTTATAGTAACTTGATGGTTACATTATAAAATAGATCTCATGTCGGATATAAATAGTATATTGTTATTAAATATATTTAACATAGTTTTCTATTTACCTTTTCGTTTACGACCAGTTGTCTTACCAATTCATCCGACCAGTTCTATAAGTAATAACAAAATAATTCAAGCCAATAAAAGGTATTAGTTTCGTTTCGTTCCACTGACACACAATAGAATTTACAGGTCGTTTTCCAGAGAAGCATTGTCCGATAATTTAATTGTATATTGTTCTTTGACGCTCCCATTGTACTGTTGCTAATGATATTATGAAAAACTTGTTTTAACGCAAAACACAAACAAACATGTGCTTGTTAGAAATGGTAGTTAAACACGGAATATTAACCTTGATATTAAATTGTTCATCTCTTTGTTAAAACAGAATTTATGTTCATTTCCCCAAAGACTTATAAATTGTATTCTATTGAGTCTATTTATTCTTATACTAGCTTTCTTACCGCGGCTTCAGAGCTTTGGAGTTCGGTTATATCGCGTTTCCAAGAGAACCTTTCAAAAGTCTGGGAAAAAAACTAACCTACATATGTTCTTTCTCAAGGTGAATTCCATCTCTGTACCAAATTTCTTTAAAATCAGTACCATGGCTTAAGCGTGATAGCGTAATAGACAGACAGAGTTACTTTCGCATATATAATATTAGTACTTAGTAGGGATATGTCTCTTTAAATATTTTTATCATCAACTATAAGTCACTCGGTGCTTAAAGTCGAGTCGTCTTGATTTATTCCCAAACAAATTAGCCGGTCCTTCAAAGGATTTTCAGCGAGCACTCGGTCTAATGGAGAGCGAAAATCTTTACAGCAGACGGACCACTTTAGATAAACATGAAAGCGGATTACATTGTGACGTGTGAATATTATTATATATATTGATGTATACATATATATGTATATATACATGATGTATTGTTTTATAATATTAACTGGAATGGAAATGTATTGTTAATAAGTTTCATATATTACAATATGTATATGTAAAGGATAATAATTTCAATAGTAATAATTAAACTTCAAATATAAATTGATTACTAATATGAATAAAATGTTTAAAATGTTATTACCAGTATTCTCAATGTTGTAACTGAACTTTACATTATTTAATATGTTAATATTTTAATATGAATTTGTACTTTGATTATTTCTTAAATTCCTAATAGCAATAAAAGTTAGGGTAATATGGTGTGATATAATGGAACTAAAAACATATATGTAGTTCTTATACAAATCATTCATTGATTTCTATGTATTTAGAGAAATGAAATTATTTATCTTTAAACATTATATAAAAGATATTCACATTAATTTTAAGTTAATTTGATTTAAGTAATAAAAAAAGATTACATTTTGATCTTAAATAACGACAATGTAATTACAACAGCTATGAAAGATCCACAGATGTCTCTACATCATGCTTAGCACGAATTATGAGTCATGAAACATATTACTTTAACTGGGATACATTATAACAGCTTACAAGCGTTTTGTTTAAACAAAATACTTATAGTATAGCGTGAAACTATCGAGACCTGTAGTAAGCGTGTATTCTCAAGTTTATTTTAGTATGTTTAATAATAAAAGTGGCCCGTTAAAAGCCGTGTTGCGAAGTTAATAAGCAGCGTGAAGGATGATCAGTACCATGTATAATTGGATGTCAAACAAGAACTCTCGTAATACCCTACTTGATACCGCGTCAAGCGGGCATTAAGTACATTTTATTTTTAACATGAAGAGAAATTTGTATTTTCTATAACAATATGGGTTTGCTTTATAATTTGCAGGGCTTGTTTTTTTGTAATAATGATGATCTTTTTAGTTTTCTTGATTATTTTTTGTGAATATTAGGAATTGTGAACGTTAAATTAAATAAGGTTTGGTTGTCAAAAAACTAAAGACAGATAAAAAATAACATTTTGTTTACATTGTGATGTATTAGGTAAGTTTGTATATGTATTATAGCAATACTTCTTCTTCTTCAACCTGGCAATTTCCCAGCTATAGCCAGGGTCTGCCTTACATGTTATGAATAGTTTTTGGCTATTTTTTTTTACGACCGGCCGCCTGCCTGACATCAACCCTCTTTTGGGAATCATCATTAATCAGAGATGTTTAAATACTCTTAGAAAGTACATATGATTCGGAAATACATATCACATTGGTACTTGCCCGGGCCAGGATCGAACCCGCGCCCTCGGCGACGAGAGTCGGGCCCTTTAACCACTGAGCCACCACTTACTTATACTTGTGTATTATAGCAATACTATTAGATTATAATGTTTTTAGATCACAAAGCTTACATTAAACAAATTTTATGATTTTATTCAAAAAATTTAATGGTTTTAAATTATTATTCTTAGACGCTTTCAATACCTTTTTCTTAAATATATATTACGTCAATTCTTTACCTATATGTATTTTTTTCTGTTTAATTATCGTCACAGTTTTGCGTGTCAAAGTATGAACATCATTCAATAAGGCCGCTTACAGACGGACAACTAAAGAAAACAATCTCATCAGTATTTATAAGAGTGGTCAGGATTATATAAATTACATTTTGGACTTTCACAAAGAACAGTGGACATTTGAGTTGTGAGTCCATAACAAACAGATCACTGTAATATATTAAATAACTAAACACGGGCGACATTGAAATATGTGAATCGGGATTAATCGAGAAATATGTACCCTTTATCTTACACCGACGCCGCCTTCATAGGGTTGACAAACATATATATTACAACAAAAAATATAACTAACCATATTTGATATTAAGACCATTATTATTATTTGATTTTATCAAAAACTATGCTTGTATGTATCTCTAGTATGTTATTAATATTAAAAAAAAATCTCGTTAGTGACAACCCTGAATCAAATACCAACTATGAATCAATAAACGTACATCGGGTCTTAGAGTAAACTTTGAATAATGGACACAAATGTATGTGTTTAAAGTTATCGCTATCTTTATTATAATATATTGAGGTGAGAGAGAAAGCTGTACAGGACATTAGGAGGAGAGGTGCATTATAATAATGCTGTAACATATTGTTCTCAATAATTACTATTTTTATATATAACCAAGATATCGGTTTTCTTTGGAAGTAAAAGAAACTTGACTGAACTCAAACGAAGACAGTGCAGTGAGTTCAAAGTCCTAGCTATGTACGTAGGTTGGACTCGAGTTGTTAAAATTCTAAATTAAGGACTCATATCTATCTGGAGTTTTTATTCTGATATCAGGTTACAAGAGGCGCCATAATATTATTAATATTGTAAATACAGCCCTATATGTCCAAATATAGGTATTCTAGGAGCCTGTTAACTTCTGTAAATGGTTTTTGTGGTTTTGAGGGATATTTACAGTGACTAGCTATTTATATTTAATATGTTTTTCAATTGTTATCTGTATATAGTCTTAACTGGCTTCAAAATATAGGTACTTAGGACTATGTTAGGACTGTATGGTAGAATTACGCTGCCTACCTAAACCACGTCTACTAAATATTTCGGAGTCTGCCTTTTCGGAAATTATATTTCAATTATTTGTTCTATTTCGTCACCAAAGAAAATATTTAGGGATTCTCCATATAACAGTTCACTTGACAGCGGTAGACTAAGATAATATTTATCGATCAGAAATATATTCTTAATCAACCCTCCGACGCCTCCAAAGAACATCATGAATGGCGAATGTTTACAAACATTTGACCAACAAATTATTTGTATAGACGCTTCCCGAAATTCAAAAGGACCGTGGACCAATATTTGGTAAGACCTTTGACAAACAAGTTACTCTGGTGCATGAGAAATACACTTGCGGTGCGATCGATTTCCTGTTTGGCCACGATAAGGGCTTCAACACACATTGTGTGGAATGTTAACAATGGTTTGGACACCCGCATTATTACTCTGTATTGTTTACTGTTTAGCGAGGGCTTGGACGTGGGCACGTTCTGATGAAGGATGATTGACTTTGAGCTGTACCGGGATGCTCTCAGATTGATAGGCAAGTTCGATGATGTCCCTGGAGAATAGATTCTGACCATGGTATTCCATTGGCTAGGCATGCAACAAAAAACCTTTGCAGATAGAATTTTTGCTGTAATGTCCCTATAGATACGCTTGAATGTACCTGAATAGCTTTCTTTATATTTAGTTGTTTTTATATAATGTACCAAAATATTTTAATGGTATGGGATCTTGCTACAATTTGAATTTAACCAGGGTGCCTTAAACTAGGAGAGATTTTTGACGTGGTCATTCTTAAACTTCTACAAAATTATGATTATAAATATTTTGTCTTTGTTGTATGTTGATGAATTGTAAAGTGAAGACTAAACTGAGGTATATAAAGATGATTTGAAAAATAATTATATCAATACACTTTTATATCAATAATATCACTGACTCTTTGTATCACGATAAAAATATTTTATCCTTTAAATTATAAAAGAACATTTTTTACATTTTTTTTTTGTATAAGACGACACAATATAATAACAGCACATTTAATTTACCATATCTATAGTGCTTATCAGATAAATTATAATTGATGGAATTATTACGTATAATTGGCAAAAATTCCAAAATAATAAATAATAATGTGGTTTTCCCTTAAATTACAATAATTTGTATTCACGTATACTTTTACACGTGATGTTGAAATTTTTTGTAATAATTTTTGTAATTTTTTTTATAATATTACAACGTGTACCCTTTAGTTATATTAAACAAAGTTCTTGCTATTATACATGTTATAATTATTATACATATAAAAACACAATATAGGTTTTTTGTTCAAAAATCACTGAGACCGCGTCATTAGTATTGTACCAACAGTGATATGACACGTACTTTTAAGAATCGTCAATTTTTATTATTGCTCTATTTTTCTTTATCCGTCATGGATTTTTTTATTTTAGAACTAATTGTGTATAATTTAATTTTTCCTTCAGCTTTGGTTGTACAGCGTTAGTATTGAAAAAAATTGAAAATGTTTGAATGAAAAATTGGAAATTGTTAGTAAAATTTTGTTACGATTGGCAAATATGCCTCTTAATTTAGCTTTAATTTAAATATATAATTATAATATTTATATTTATCTAATATTTTAATTATGTATTATTTGTGCCAAATTTCCAAATCGTAAGTCCGTCCACTCCTTATTACGTAGTGTTCAAAGTGACTAATATCCTATTTCACACGATCACATGATGAGAGGTTATTGTCAAGATCAATTGAATTGTTATCAGTAGTTTATACCGGTGAGTCCTGGTGTTCACACCCGACAGACACCGACCCTGGCTTACTACAAACACAATATCTAATTTACCTAAATTACTGGGAAGTTCATGACTTGCGGAGATCCATCTGCGTTTAAAGATTATCCTACTTATATGTTTTCTTCTACCTGGCAATTTCCCAGCTTTAGCCAGGGTCTGCCTTACCATGTTGTGAATAGTTTTGGCTAATTGTTTTTACGACCAGCCGCCTGCCTGACATCAACCCTCTTTGGGAAATACGACTTATATGTATTTGAAGATATTTCGAAACTTGAGTGGGATTATAATCTAAGGACCATTTTATTTTATGAAAAACTTGTTATGAACGTATGTACTAGTAATAGTTACGGATACATAAGCTATATTCTGGTGAGTTTCTTTTAAATCGGTAGATTCAGAGATTCCTTTAGAAATAAGAAACAGACAGGCAAAACTATTAAAAAAAATTAGTAAATATTGATTCCTTATCCGTATTAAATGAAAAATGATTATTTTTAAATGATGTAGACACTATATATTTTTTATTAAAGACCAAATGTTCACCAAAAAACCATCGATCTCATGATAATGACACTTTCAGTGACCAGGAATCTCTTAATTCCAGTTAGCTGACTCCCAAGACACTTGACTGACCGCCGGTCATATGAATACAGAATTGCAAGTGTCGGATTAAGGATATAAAAAAATAAAAGAAAAAAATATTAACTGCGTCCATATTAAATCTGACATTCAAAAGCTTGCACCAACATTATTGTGACAGCTTTTTAATTTTATATTTATCGTACATTAATAAAATATTACTAACACGGATCGGGTATAACGACGTTCTCTGATAAGTTACTGGTTTTTGCACGCGACTTCGTCTGAATTACTTTCAGAATTACAAATGTATGACACGACGAACTCTGTTCCTCCTTACAGACAGTAAATAAGATTTTGGATTTTTATCTAGTTTTTTTCGTTTTCAATCAGATGAAAAGTATCTTAGGTCCTTTTCCTTATTCTAAACTATATCTCCACCAATTTTCAGCCAATCCCGAATAGCCATTCTTTGGTTTTAATTAGTGTAATATATACCTACGAAAAATATTAGTTTCATTTAAATGAATAAAACTCGCGAAAGTCTTAGATTTTATTATTTAAATAGTGTAACTAACACGAATTTGTTATATACGTATGTAGATATATATGTTTATGTGAATCGAACATTAAAATTATGAATAATATTAAGTAGGCATATAAAGAATTAAGATTTAATAGTTTTGAGGTTCTAAGGTTAATTAAAAAGCGTAAGATATGGATAGAACAGATCCCTAGGGATGTTGTGGCAGTATTAATACAATAAGGAAGTATATAACTTGTTATTTGAGAGCTGCGTAAATCCTACATCGTAAACTTAGACATGACAGAGCTGACTTGACAGCGAAGAAAGACGGCCATCTTGGATAGCTTAACAACACACAATAAAATATATATTATAAAAAAATATAATAAAGGAAGTAGAGGAATAATTTTTTATATATAATACAATTATTATAGATCATTAAGGAAAAACTACAAAACCCACTAAAAGCATTCAACTATTCCACCATGACGTCCGAGGTCAATGACACCGCTCCCATTGTTCCAGGGATATTAAACAATCGCTACAACTTTTACGAGCTAATTTATCATTTTGTATTGCAAATTTTTATTGAACCCACAAACAAACACTAATGCCACACCATACTTATTTATTGAGACATTCATTGGAAGGAAGGAATATTAATTGAAAAATATATTTAAATCAGCAGTCTATAGATAACGCGCCAAATTATGACGTACAAGTATTTGACATAAATATGTACGATATTAAAAAGAGATTTCAGTATTTATCAGTTCAATGGCGGTAAGATATTTGATGTATTTTTAAATGTCATTGTATTGTAAGAACAATAAAAGTAGTGTGGTCAATAACCGAAAAGTAAGTGAATTGGGTAAAAAAATAAATATGCATCAATGAATTATACTTTCATTGAAGTAATGTATACGATAATTTGAAATACAAATTTGAAGTTGGCCATAGACAATTTTGTAATAGACGCATATATTTATCCTAATTCAATAAAATAAAATAAAATTTGTAATATAATGTAGCAATTTTTTTTATAAACGATACAATATGTCGTACAATCACATTTTGCATAAATTTAGTTTTCGTAGCGGACCAATAATTTCATTTTTTTTTTGATTTTAAGAATAAACTTAAAATAATATTAGAAAATTACTAAATATCACAAATTATATTTATTTCATATTTACGAAATTCATTTTAAACGGATACACGTTTATAAAAAATAACTTTTTAAATTAGATTTTTAAACAATATTCAAAGTTATATTGCAAGATTTATTCATAATAATGAATGTTGCACTCACTCACCATAATAATCGCCACGAGCAAAATTAAATTTATCCGAGTATTTAAATAAATCATACATAAAAATTGACGAAGACACTTTACATTTGATGTTCATAAACTACCGAACACTTATTAACATTTTTATTAAACTTCTCAACTAAAAAAAATATGATATAAAAACTTTTTTCTCTTCCTCTTTTCTAACAACATTATGTCAAAGTCAAAGAGCCATTCGTTTATTCCGGAACGTTTGGCGCGCCGTTTGACAGCTGAACTTTTTTCTATTCGAGACGACTTGATCTGCTAAAAGCCGGCGCTAGACTGCCACAGAAACCGCACACCATTATAATCTTGAGAGGACAACACCGACACGGAACGTCGGGCTTACGGAAGGCGCGATAAATAGTCAGAAATGCATCGGATTCTTAAAAGATATATCTTTATGTTATCAACTAAATATGGACGCTAACAAAATTAATGCTACATTTTAGATCTCTTACGAGATGATTTATTTATACCTCATAATAAAATATACCATTTTTATATATGAATGTAACATTAATATTACAAAACATTAGCGTTTAATGAATAGTTATGTCACGTTTAAAAATAAAACACCGATAAATTCGTAACAGAAACCGAACTATTAAATAATCATTAAATCTAATTAGAACGTATGATACCGGCGCCTCACTAGTCATAATGAACATTTCACAATCAAATATATGTATTATGATGTATTTAGCTTTATGATTATATTTAAGTATATTCTTCTTTTCATATATACCTATGTATATCTACTTTTACGTTTATTTAGATATAAAACAAAGTTTGATACAACATAAATGTTTTGGTATTTGTATTCAAATGTTGTGGATAATTTTCTTATGATGCGAATCAAGGAAGTACACATATCATATTTATTGAACATCGTTTCCTTTCCGTGTATGGAAAGTGGAATTCTGATTATAACACCGTCTGTACCGCGTCTGAGTAGGTTTGTGACGAGAAGATAAGATGACATATATTAAAAAAAACCTATGGTATAGATGCTTAGATTGTTTGAAGCTAAACATATTTTGACAATGACCTTAGCGAGTGATGACATAGATATAGGGTTTAGAACACTTAAATAAATCATTACTCATCATCATCAGCCTATCAGAGAACATTGCTGAGCAAAAGCCTCTTCTCACATGGAAAAGATTTCAGTGTTAATCACCACGCTTGCTCAAGACGGGTTGGTTGTTGCTTTATTATTATTATCTGAAAAGTCTTATAAAAGATATGTGTATGAGTGTGTGTGTGTGTGTGTGTGTTTGTGTGTGTGTGTGTGTGTGTGTGTGTATGTGTGTGTGTGTGTGTGTATAACTCACCGCGAGCAGAGTCGAAAGGCTTGCCATGAGCATAGCGCGGGCGTGTTGGCGGGCGGAGGGGCGCGCTTGCCCCGGCCGCCCTCCGGCCTGCTAGCAGCGTCGGACCCGCATGGCACGCCTGGGGTGAACAGGGACACGGGTCAGTATATAATGGATACATACACCGAGAACACATTCAATATGAACACCCTCTATATATAAACAACATTGAAGACATATAGCAAGTACTCATTTAATAGGAACACCCTACATATAATACTTAAATATTATTGACTTTCAGAGCCACTTATGAGACTAAATATTGGATAAAATTTAATTCCATTTTAGGCAATTTTGTTTAATTAATGTTATGTTATAAATTGAGTATGTAATATGTACAGGGGATGTTTCTGGGTGTGGCTTTAGTTAACGCATGCGCTGTCACAAGAATATAAGGATGAAATTCATAAAATTCACACCAAAATATTCTTTACGTAAGTTCCCTTGTTCATTTTAGTACCTACAGAAATAGTACACACTATTTGTGAACATTTTTAGTTTTTTTATTTACTTAAATTGTTTAGTTTTATAAAATTAAAGTTTTAAGTCAAAAATTGATGTCATATTGAGCTGGTAGGATATTTCTTAAACAACTTCACTTCATTTAAACTGTTATTTATATAATTATTTGAAATTAATTAATATTAATATATTTTTATGACGTAAGATATATAAAGGACTAGGTATGTATGACGTGATTTTACAAATATTTAAATTAATCAAAACTTCTTCGTCAATTGGCAATGTTTCGTAGAAGTCCTACAACTTTGGCACCCCGATGTTAATAATTACCTTGTACATAATACTCTCATACAAACATGACTTCTATTTATATAGCAATAAAGAACAGTTTTCTTATTAAAAATATATCAACTACGTTGCTCCTTATTGAGCTATCTGTCGATAATCTTGGCGCCAGTGTTTATCAATTTATGACAGCAAAATATTTAAGTTATGATTCATAGAAATTTTCATGAATTTCATGAGTTAAATGACGATGAGTTTCATAAAAGTCATAGTTGTTGGAAAAATTGGAATCTTGACATATAATGACAGTTTTACCTTTAGTAGGATAGAGTCGTATAAATATTAATAAAGTAAGAAAAAAGTGAGAAATAGGTGAATCGTTTAATTTTAAATCCAGATTTGGAAAGAAAAATTGATTTTATATATATTTATTTAAATATATTTTATATGATAATTATAGTGAGAGAAGTATATCTTCTTCTACCTGGCAATTTCCCAGCTTCAGCCAGGGTCTGCCTTAGATGTTGTGAATAGTTTTAGCTAATTGTTTTTACGACCGGCCGCCTGCCTGACATCAACCCTCTTTAGGAATGCTTTAATCATTAATTTAATATTAATTTAAATGAGAGAAGTATGTATGATAATTGTTATTTTAATTTCTCAAACAAGATAATCATTTCAGATGGTTGTTCATGATAACACTATGAATTTACGCCGACCTCGTCTCTATCTATTTCTTTGGAATGTGATCAAACAATGATAATATAGAACAATTAATTTTGGAACTATTGTCAGTTTGTTATCTTATCGTAAGTAAAAAAATTCTATTATTGTCAGCAAAATATTTAACTAGCTTTCCGCCCGCTGCTTCGCCCGCGTGGAGTTCGGTTTTATCGCGTTTCCAAGAGAACCTTTCAAAAGTCTGGAATAAAAACTATCCTATGTTCTTTTCAAGGTCAACTCCATCTCTGTACCAAATTTCATTAAAATCAGTTCAGTGGTTTAGGCGTGAAAGCGTAACAGACAGACAGAGTTACTTTCGCATTTATAATATTAGTAGGGATTTTATGTTAAAAGGATACTTATATTTTTAATGATTGGCTTAGTTGTGGAAGCCAATGATATTGTTACTTTATCTTTTTTCTTATTATAGTATCTAGCCTCATAACTTGGTCTTCTTTAACCATTTCCTAACAATGGTTCTTATGATTACCATGAGCTTGCATCAAACTACATACGATATTCTTCACGTTTCTCAATTAGTAAAGTAATATAATATACTATAGCGTGACGATTGAATATTCGTCTAAGCATACTGAACTTAAGTAAACACAAAAATTACAATTTAAAATAATAATAAGAATATGTTTTACCTAAAGAGGGATTTTCTGTGAGAGTTTGGCGATATAATACTTTTTACAATCAAAATTGAATTAACGATATCAAATAAATAATATTTTAATTGTAATTTAACTTATCGTGTTATTGTAAGTAATTTTATATTTAATAATAAAATTAATTGATAGTCATCGTGATATACTCAATCAATGTTGATAATATATTTTGCTCCCCGCAATCAAATGATTAAATATTGAGCGAAATACTTATTAAGTACAGTGTAGGAACCATTAGAACCGTATTGAAAATTATATATTATATGAACTGAGACTAAATATTGAATAACCCGCTGTTAAAGATGATTGGCTTGATTTAAACGTACAGGTCGGTCTTAGTAAAATAAATTGAAAGTGAAACAAGTAATAAAATATATAGGAATCTCAAGGAACATATTATTGATATTGGGTAAATAATATAAATCCCTACTAATATTATAAATGCGAAAGTAACTCTGTCTCTCTGTCTGTTACGCTTTCACGCCTAAACCACTGAACTGATTTTAATGACATTTAGTACAGAGATAGAGTTGACTTTAAGAAAGAACATAGGATAGTTTTTATCCCATAATTTTGAAAGGTTCTCTTGGAAACGCGATATAACCGAACTCCACGCGGGCGAAGCTGCGGGCGGAAAGCTAGTATGTATATAAAAAACATTATTTGTATATCGTTTATAATATTTGATACTTATTAAAGGATCTAACATTTGTGTAAGGAATTAAAATAATATTTCTTTATGTGAGATGAAACACAACTTGAATTAATTATCATGCCAATAGCCATTCGTACATCAACGATCTGATTGGCGGATACTTGAGAACTAATCATCTGTGATTGGCTGTTATAAATAATTATTAAAATAATATAGAATTATCAACTTAATATGTTAGTCGCTTGGATTCAGTTTGCAAATAGGATTAAAACGCATATGAGTAGGCGAATGTTATTATAATTATTGAATGGAATTTTTTTTTAAAGAATTTATTATATTTTTTCCATTACATACAAAATAACTTCTAGTATTAATTTGTTCAATCTCATTACCGAATTCTTAAGCTATGTGACGTCACTACACTTATAGGATACACACACACACACACACACACACACTCACACACACACACACAATACAGGTGGTGCCTATATACCTTTGATCTGTTTTAGTAACGTCACATTTAGTTAACCGCATTCACCATAGTGAAGGTCAATAATAAATTATGTAACCGGTTCATGTATTAACATAACGCCTGTCAAGCGTCATCAAACCAACGCCAGCCCTACCCTGGAGTCAGTTGCATCATGTGTTATGATCTCCTGGTACATGTAGACATTAATATGTATGGAATAAGAATTAGATCTTAATATAGGAACAAACTTATAACTTATCTCTCATTGTTTATGATCTCCTGGTAGATTTTTTTGTTACTATGTTATAGAATAAATATATACTTAATATATGTACATATATGTTAATATTATACATATTCCCAAAAGAAGGTTGATATCAGGCAGGCGACCGGTCGTAAAAATTAGCCAAAACTATTCACAACATGTAAGGCAGACCCTGGTTAAAGCTGGGAAATTGCCAGGTAGACGAAGATATGTTAATATTAATAATTATGTATATATCTCGTATCAATTGAGTGGTATATAAAGATCCCGCTATCTCGTTCGTGGCTTCCGCGCTCGTAAATCCACAGGCCGATACAACCTCACATGTAGTATTAACTAATAAAATTATATGTGCATGGAATATAAATTATATTAAAGTATTATAATTTGAGATTTATTTTTCATGTATATTAAAGACGAAATAAGAATCAGTAGAAGAAGAATCGGTTAGCACGTAAGAATCATTTTTGTTTTTAGTTGTCTAACTCATCTTTTATTTGAGTTTGTTTTATAATATTATACATCCTAGTAGTATAATGTATAATTAATAATTATCAACACTATAAGGTGTTGCAATTCATAATGCGGTCGATTCAATTAGTCAGCGATTACAATTACTAGAGTCTGGTAGGGAATCCATGATAGCTATATATCAAAGTCGGATAAAATGAGCCTGTTTGTCCAACGCCTCACGATTCCTTTGTGATTCATTTCACGATACAATTATTGGATAATATATATATGTGGGATTTAAAGTTCAAATGCCACATATTATTTAAGGAAATCGATCTCAAAAAGTCTTCTTTTCTGTTTTTTAATTAGAAAATGCGAGTGTTTAAAACAATGGAAATGGAGAAGAACGTTAAAATCTTTATCGTTTAAGTATGTAATTTATTTTCTTTGAATATATAGCATATATATGTATAATTAATACATATGTTTTATAATCCGATCCGCCATCTTAATTCGCCGCAGTTTTCCGATAAATCTATTAAATCTCATGTTATACCGGTTAACGACTTCATTGATTTATAATTATTCGCTTCGTTTGAGTTAGAACGATGCTGTCATTGATAAAGTGATCGCGTTATGCAACACGACCTACATAACAATCAATTAATATTTGAGAAGGAACAGACAATAGTTTAATAACTTGTTGGTTACCTTTTGTATGACTGGTTCCTCATGAATGCAACAAAATCAATACTAAGCCACTATAAATCTACTAAGTACACGTGATGCTGTAAACGGCCAAGGACCACGCGGTCGTTAATAAGCGACGGTCTCAATAAGGATCTTTATAATATATTAATTCGATGCAACGATATTACACATTAATAAAAGATGTCAAGAGCGCGGCGCCCGGTCGCTGGTACATTTGTTGATTTAATTAATGATTAGGATTGAAGTTTTAGATGGAATCGGTCGTATTTGATTCATTGTAACTCTCCCGTTTAGTGATGGTCGCAACCCACGTTGGTATTATTAGTGAGGTGATCTAACTCGCAATATAGATGGTTGTGGATCCGCTTTGAAGGTGAAACTGAGATAATACTTAGCACTATATATGTACTGCTTCTACCTGGCAGTTTCCTAGCTT